GGCGGCACCGTGCCGCGGTGCGGAGCATAATGTTGTATCGGCAATGTGTGCCGTATATGAAGCGCAAATTTCTGGGATTATCTAGTATTTCCCTATTATGCGGTCGAGCAATGATTTAAGCGTTTAGAATTAAAGTTGGAAGGGGTGCGCGCTAAATTTAAAGGAAATATTTTAAACTTTGATGGTTATTCGATGTTTTGATACTTTTAATGACTGGAAATTAGTTTAAAAACGTTTTATATTTAAATAAGTAATGTATCGAAAATTTCACATTATTATAATTTTAACATGTGAGGCCCGGCCTCAGTTGCTTTATACGACAAGCCGCCACTGCCGTGGTAATTTATACAACTTAATAACATAAAAGGAAAATTTTATCCATAAATAAATTTCTAAAAATACTCTAGCTTGAAACCAAATTGACTAAAAAATGCGAATTATTTCGAATATATCTGAAATTCCGAATAATTCGCATTTTTAAGTCAATTTGGTTTTAAGCCGGAGTATTTTCAGAAATTTATTTATGGATTCGCAGCGAATAACTAATTTTACATAACTAAGAATTAACAACAATCGAAACAATTAATGTAAGTGAATAAAATTTACAGGGTTTTTTATAACTGCATATAAATTAAATTAAAATGAGCCAAATTAATAATCTAAAAAAAAAATTGATTTCATGGTGATAATAATTATTGGCGTTAATTTTCTCATATTTCCTGTTAAGCTGCGTAATAATGCAAACAGTGCATTTACATGCAGACAACCTTTCGCACATAGAGACCCAATGAGATAAAAATGCCAGCGCTGATTGAAAAGTTCAGTGACAATAACGAAGCGCAAAATAAAAATATCAAAATATGAATATATTTTAGAAGGTCAAGGCAAAACGCATACACGTGCTTTTATATCACTACAAAGTTATAATTTCCACATAAATATACTTTTTAGGATTAATTAATATTTAACAAAATCGTTTTTATGACATTTCCTTGATTTTATTTGTTTTGTATTTAATTTTCTATATAAGTGGGTTGTGTTTTACATTTGTTCTTTACTTTTATTCTACTGTATGATAGAAGTTTAAAAAGGTTAAAAAAAGATTACCCACATCGTAAATTGAAAGCTTATTGAATTTTGTTATACTCGTAGAATTTAAAAGATTTATTTATTTAAATTATTTCTTCTACTTCCACCTTTAAAACGCCCATTATCGTACATCACACTAAATGACCTTTTAAATACATTGACATTGACATGTTGGGACTTTATGACGTTTTAGTCACGGGCTGAAGTTAGCTTTAAGTTAGTTGACAGATGTCAAATGTCATACAATCGTAAAAATAAGGGCACTTTAAAATAATACTAAATGTGAAAATTATTTTATTATCTCAATACAAAAAATACAAAAGCATCAACGCCAATATTTGAAAAGTAAACTAGTTATAACTTAAATTCGGGCTCGGACGTGAGGTGCTCATAAAACATTTTCTTCACTTTCACTGTGAAAAACTGTTGTTAATCCATTTTGAAGTGATACATTACCTACAAATTTGACATTGACGGTAACAGATTTCCCTATTGTTTTATAGATGTCGCTCTATACAAATATTTAATTTAAATAATTTTTAGATAATAAGTATTTGTCTTAAAAAAAGAATAGTAAGCAACTAGTTTATAAACTTATCTAGACACTCATTCGCAAGCTCGCTCATGCCTAAATTAAATTCGTGTCTAAATGGCCTTTATCAAACTTGATATTTGTATTATTATATACTCCCCCATTGATAAGCTGCAACTTTATGGCGTTTTAGTCACGGGCTGAAGTTTTTTTAATATTAAATTACCACCAGTATACATTTTTGCCGCTGCGGGCCTCTGTTTTGTAGATGACATGCATGTCAAAATAAAATATTTTAAATATTAAATTTTAATGTCAAAATTTGCTGTTCAGATTTTAAGTAATTTTTTGCAGTCACGTTATGTAGGAAGAAAAATAACGTGTTAACCACGGCGGTAAATTGATTTTACAGGCTTCAAGAAGTTTTCATTTCTGCCTTCAATCTGGGAAAATGTCACTTTACCGCCTAGGTCTACAATATACTGCTATTATAATCTTAATATAAAAATACAAAATTATTAAATAGTTTCTAGATGCCAATTTTTGAAAAGTTTATTTGCATTTTTGTACTGACCTTTTGATTTCGCCGACAGCAAACCAGTATTGCCAATAAAGCATTAATAATTTCGGGTTGAGTGGCATGCCACTAATTAATTTAATTACTTGTATAGAGTGTCATCTGTACAAAAATAAGTTTACCAAATTGGTGTTAAAATGTCATTGTCAAATTGTTCTGTACAAAAATGATTCCTTAAAAATGAACTAACAACCGTTTAAATCCGATAAGGAAGCAGTTTTTTACGGTGAAAGTGAAGACGATGTTTTAATGCCATGGCATCGGATTTAAACGGTTGTTAGTCCATTTTTAAGGAATAATTTTTGTACAGAACAATTTGACAATGACATTTTAACACCAATTTGGTTACCTTATTTTTGTATAGATGTCGCTCTATACAAGTAATTAAATTAACTAGTTTTAAATTATTTTATCTACTCCTACATTGACGAGCTGTCACTTTATGGCGTTTTATTGACGGGCTGAAGTTAACAACAGTGGCTTTTCGACATTTTACGTCACGGGCTGAAGTTAGGTTTATTATAAATTGGGAAAAAGTGAGGTTAAATTCGGGTGACAGTTGACAGATGTCAAAATTTTAACAAATAAAATTGGCTTTAAATTCTGTTTTGTGTTCGTCGTAGATAAAGTATAGTATGCAACTTGTTTATAAACTTCTCTAGACACTCGTTTTTATTAAACACTCGCTCGCAAGCTTCGCTCGTGCTTAATTAAACTCGTAACTAAAATGGCGTTTATAAAACTTGATACATAATATACTATTTTATTATATTTTTCGAATAAAAAGTATAGCATGCAACTTGTTTTTAAACTTTACTAGACACTTATTTTATTAAACACTGTGAGCTTCGTTCGTACCTAAATAAAATTCGTGACTAAAATGGCGTTTATCAAACTTGATACATAATATACTATTAAGATTTTAAAACATATTAAAGAATACAAATATGTTTTATCAAGAATAACAATTTTTTTCAAAAACATACTTTACAAATACTTCTAAAATTTTAAATTCACCTCAAGGACTTCAATTAATTTAATTAGGTACCTATATTTACTTTGTGACATAGGTACATTTTATTGTTTATTTTTGTCTCAACTTAAAAGATTACATTTTCGCTCAACAAAAATAAGTCGTAAGCAAAAACTAAATTGGTATAAACAATCAAAAGTTGTTACGTAAAAAATAAACACATTTAAACTAAATGCATTGTGTGATTGTGTCAATAAATAACGTATTGTTATTATTTTTTTTGAAAACCAAGCATATTTGTGCCATTAATAAATTTACCAATTTAAATTTGTTTTTATATTATTTATAAAAAATCATCATGATATTTTTAAGGTCGATAGTTTCTTGCCAAAGAAATTTTTATTTATAAAAATTGCTATTTATATACAAATTTGACTTTAGATTTAAATAAACATTTAACTATTAATGATAGAGTAATACATACATAGCATAATTATATAGTATTTGCTAATAATATTAATAATAATTACCTATTATAATTAACAAATAATTATTATAGAATGCATTATTTATGTTTTACTTTTTATTTATCACAAAATCATAGGATGTTATAACTATGTTAATTAGTAATTAATTGCTGAAACAGTTTGCTTGCCAAATTCTTGTTGGGTATGGTCATGAACAACTTTTAGTAAATCAATAAAAGCAACAAGTACGGTAGTAAAGTGTACAAACAAAAATTGAGGATCTTAAACCAATATAAATCAATTAATAATATTCCACAGATATAAAACAAGATGTAACCGATTATTGCCAGAAATTAAAAGAGCAATAATTGCTTGACCGATTATTGGTTAATTTAAAAAAGTATAATTTGTAAACATTTTAATTAGTGCTCAAGCATTATGTTTGAAATAAATTAGAAGCTACTGAAGTTACGAAATAAAGAAATGAGAATAATGTAATCGTTATAGGTACACCTATAATAACTTAAGTTTATTGAATGTGAAACAAAGTACGAAGATCGTACAACTTTTTCTGTTAATTTGATTGGCGCTAGAATCACTCAAAAATGCAAATTCATGTCAGTATTTACAAAATTCACGAACGAATGGTCATCAAACATAACGATAACGATTCGAATATTTCTTCAAGTCTTTATTATTTACTTTCCCGACTAAAAAATTTAAAAAAAGCCGAGAATCTGAAAAGTTGTTTCAGATCTTCCATCAAAAATTTGCTGAAAAATCATCAAGTCACAAAATAAATAAGTTAATAACTCTTTCATCTACTACATTTAAATCAGTTAGCTACTAGTGAATTGGCTGAAATATGAGGATCCAAATTCACTTTCGTATTAATAAGTCTTTAGCTAAATAATTTTTTGAAAATGACGATGTTTCTTAAAATCACCGAAATTTCTTTTTCATTCATTGTATATATTGGAATTTTTATCAGAACCTCAAAAAATGAAGACTCCGAGAAAACTTGAGAGGGTGTGAACCCCCTACAACCCCCCCCCCAAACGCTATGTTGCAAGCATAAATATTGTTGATTGATAAATATTTATTGATTGTTGCTATATTTTATGTGCTGCTAAATAAAGACTATTATTATTATTATTATTATTATAAACATCGATTTAATTGTTTTCTTTATTTATTTTTATTCCATCTAATCGCTTATTGAATTGGCGAAGGTTTGCCAAACATGTGACCAATAAACGCAAACAAATTGTCTAAAAATAATGTCGACGTAAAATTATTATTTTAACAAACTATTTTTAGAGCCATAAAAGCAAGTGTTTTCTAATTGAAGTGACTTATTACCTTCTTCTTCGCTTAGGTCGCTGAATTTTATACCCCCACTGAAAAAAAAAGAAAAATAAATTACAGGAATTAATGCATTTTAACTTAAATTTAAAATAAAAAATATATATATAGTATCTACATAATTAATTATTAATTTTAAACTTTAGGAAAAATTCATATGAATTAGGTAATAAATTATTATTTAACATTAACAGCTATTAAATATTCTAGGTAATAAATTATTATTTAACATTAACAGCTATTAAATATTCTTTTATTAAAAAACAAAATAACAATAATTTATGCGCTTCGTCCACGTAAATTTTAGGAAAAATTCATATGAATGTAGGTAATAAATTATTATTTAACAATTAACAATAAATACTCTTTTGTTAAAAAACAAAATAAGAATAATTAATTATAAAGTAAATTTAATAGTAAAACTAGTTTAAAAAGGTTTTTATTATACACTTCGCGTCAAATTTAACGCACCACTAAAAATTTGCCACAATTTTAAAGTTGATTTTCTCGCGAACCGTCAAACCGAATTTGGTAGTTTTTGTTTTAAATTGTAGGTTTATTCTTTGGGTATGACTCCTTTATAAAAACATTTTTTCAAATTTACGTTTTGAGTATATACAGGGTGCAAGAGTAATAATAAGTTTTTTCCTGTAAATTTGAAACGCCCTGTGGGTTGTACCAGCTATAACAGCATATGTCTCTTATAATCTAACTATAGCCCTATCTTCTCTTAATATTTTGTTTTTTAATTCACCGCGTTACCTTTATTTTTAAAAGAAATATACAGTTAAATATTAAAGAACTCTAGTTTAATAAAAAAATTTAAAAATAACTATAATAGTAACAATACAATAATTGTAACAATAACAATAAAAATATGAACAAAATTAATAAAACCAACATTAAAGAATATCAATATCGCGTATTTCCGCCTCTACATCTAATTACGGCTCATACTCGAAACCAGAGGTCTAATCTCGCCTTGATTAATGACATTTCATATGACTCGTAGCATATTTGCTACGTCATCAAGGGAGGCAGACAAGGGATCATGATTTCTTAGTCGTCTACCCATATTATCCAAAAAATGCTCAACGGGGTTGAGATCCGGACTATTTGCAGGCCAGTCTAAAGTTTCAACACCCACCTTATGTAAGTACTCTTGGACTATAAAGCGGTGTGAGGTCTTGCGTTATCCTGCATCAGTAAAAAATTATTACCGATGTACGGGGCGAAAGGGACAACATCCTCAGATAAAATGTCCTTGGTATATCGTACACTATTCATGGTACCTCCACGAACAATGACGAGTTCTACGATGATTTGCATTTAACAGTCCTGTTGCTGGAATTCTGATGCTTAAATTCTGTTCCGCAAGACGTCTTCTTACGGTGGACACACTTGTTTGAAAATTACATATGAGTAGCATTAAGTTGTACCTGTAGATTTCTTGCCGTTACAAATCGTCCTCTCAAAGCATGCAAATAAAGGAAACGATCATGTACGACTGTTGTCATTCGATGCCTTCCCTGTCCATCACGTCTGTAACAGTTATGATCGTTGGTTTCTTCAAAACGTCGAATAACACGGGATATTGAGGTATGATTAACTCCCAATCTCCGAGCTATGGCACGGTAGCTTAATCCTTGCTCGGCCAATGTAATAATTCTTACACATTCATCAGGATTCAAACTTTCCACTTGGCGCTCCATTACAATAACTTTCTTTCATTTTTTCATTGTACATTAAACTGGAGTTATTTACTCTTTAACCGTATATGTCATTTAAAAAAATAGATCAGTCAAAAAACAAAATGTTAAGAAAATAAAGGGCTACAGTTTAATTATATAAGTCATATGCTGTTAAAGCTACAACCCAAATTTCCGGGAAAAAACTTATTATCACTCGTGCACCCTGTATTATACAGGCTGTATATACTCAAAATGTAAATTTGAAAGAATATTTCAATAAACGTATTATTACCGAAGAATAAACCTACAATTTAATAAAAAAATCACCAAATTCGGTTCGACGGTTAGCAAGAAAATCAACTTTGAAATTGTTGAAAATTTTTAGTGGTGCTTTAAATTTGACGCGAAGTTTTAGTTAAAAATATTTTCTTCTAGAATGTTTATTATGAAATTATTATAATTAGGGTTGCCAGAAATTAAAATGTCTTAATTATATTAAATAGGTATAGATTTGAAGGCGTAGAAGGGACATTTACACAAAATTTATTTTTATTATTTAATTTCGTGTTAACTAACACAGAATTAATTCCCTTCCATTTAATTCTGCGTTAGGTAACACAGAATTAATTCCCTCCCATTTTATTCCGCGTTAACACAGAATTAATTCCCTTCCATTTAATTCTGCGTTAGGTAACACAGAATTAATTCCCTCCCATTTAATTCCGTGTTAACTAACACAGAATTAATTCCCTTCAATTTAATTCCGCGTTAGGTAACACAGAATTAATTCCCTTCCTAATTAACTCTGTGTAGGTAACACATAATTAATTCCCTCCCATTTTATTCCGCGTTAACAAAGAATTAATTCCCTTTCAATTAATTCTGCGTTAGGTAACACAGAATTAATTCCCTTCCATTTAATTCCGTGTTAACTAACACAGAATTAATTCCCTTCAATTTAATTCTGCGTTAGGTAACACAGAATTAATTCCCCTCCTAATTAACTCTGTGTTAACTAAAACAGAATTAATTCAATTAATTTTGTATTACCTACTTAACACGAAATTAAATGGAAGGGAATTAATTCTGTGTTAGTTAACACGGAATTAAATGGGAGGGAATTAATTCTATTACCTAACGCAGAATTAAATTGAAGGGAATTTATTCTGTGTTAGTTAACACGGAATTAAATATTAAAAATAAATTTTGTGTAATTGTCCCTTCTACGCCTTCATATAAAAGTTTAAAATATATGAAAGATTTCAGTGCATCATTGCATTATATTAGTTGTTTAAATTAAAATAAAAACAACTCAAACAATTATAATAATAAAACATTATACAGGGTGCCCCGAAAATAGCCCACTAACGGTGTGCCACACTGTAGGGGGGTTATATAGGTATCCTGACAAGTAGTTTTTGAGTTGTAGATAAAGTCGTAGATAAAGTATGGTATACAATTAGTTTTATAAACCAATAAATCTTAAGATATATAAAAAAAGTCGCTTGGCAATCTACGCTCGTGCATAATTAAAGTCGCGTATTAAGTAGCACCTATGAGTAGCACTATATAGTAGCATGTAGGGCATTAAATTGGGAAAGTGAGATAAAACCCGTCTGGCAGATGGCAGATTGGTAAAAAATGATTTTTATCATAATTAATTAACGAATTTAATATTTTTTAATCATCACTATTATTCACAATTATTTTGAAAACAAAAATAATAAAATTCAATTACTACATCTCACACTTCAAACATTTTCTGGACATGTACAAAATTATGATATTATTAATTATTGGTTCTCCCTGTACATTAAAATTTTAAATAAAAAAATTGTGGATAAAATTCTTACCTTAATAAAACAGATGCTGACTCAGGTACACGAAAAACCTGTAAACAAAAAAGTAAATATTAGATTTATTTATCAGCATTCTTTTATTTTGGAATTATTTCTGTACAGTAATTAATAGTAATGATTATAGGTACTTATAATTAGTCAGGAAAATTTCCAGGAAATAATTTGCATGTAAGAGTAACCTTTGCAGCTTTATTTTAAACCTTGCTGAAGCCCTTCAAGGCAAAGAAGATTGCATTTATGTGGGGTGTAAATAAAATTACGATTTTTATACTTACTTTCCATCCAAGGTTCTCGAAGAAAGTGGATAATCTTGCTTGTCCCGTGGTTTTTCCACCACATGGACCTATAAAATCAGATAATCTGTTTTATTTACTAATCTAAAAACATAACAATTCAAGATTATTAGTAAATAATTAACGTCTAGATCGTCGAGTTAAATGTAAAATTATATATTCTACCTAGGTAGGTAGGTACTACTACTAAGAAAATCGATAGGATAATAAACACGTTTCTTTAAATCCGAAAATATTTAAACACCCCTAATAAAAAATGTTAAAAAGTTAACTTACCGCCGGTAAGAACCAGCTTGTAGACAGTTCTCTGATTGTCACTTGGTTTTTCCATGATTTTCCGGATTTTCTTAGTTAAATATACTTTTTGATGAAAATAAAGGTTATGATAAAAAACGATGTAACGGAAAATAAATTTACGCCGACCTGAAGATGAACAAAAATTAAATTTTAAAATGTACTAAACGAAATCGATTGGGCACATGATCAAAGTATGTTTGTTATTTTCATGGTAAAATAATTCGCGTTTGCGAGATTTAGGTGACAAGCACCGCGCGAAGCGGAACAACTTTGCGAAATAAACCAATTTTCTACCAAACACCGCTGTCATCGCCTTTCTACCGACACTCGGTCGCTCTCGTCAAAAATCGATAATTTTAAGCCTGTTCGCAAAACTTCCACTGATTACACTAAAGTACACTATAGTTTTATAAATAGTTCAAAAAATCTTTTTTTTAAACACAAGTTTTTTTTTAATTGCTTTTAATTATATCGTATTTAACACAAGGTTCTAAAAAAATATTATTATACTTTTAAAACTTAAAAATAAATGAGTTGGCATGATCAAAGATAATAAATTATCTTTGGGCATGATGACGGAAAATGTTACTTATAATTATAATTATTATTAAAAAATTATTTTTTTTCTGACGAATAGTTTTCAACTTAAAAGGATTTAAAAATCAAATTTTATTTTTTTATTTTAATTTAAGAATATTTATACAGGTTGTTCTATAAGCTCTATGAGAAACTTTGGCAGATGATAGCCAAACATTTTGTTCTTAAATGGAGATGGGTCCGATTCGTTTTTGTTTACAAGTTATAACTTAAGTTATTGTATACAAGCTTTAAAAAATATATATTTTAATCAAAAGTAGGAGGAAAAAAAAATGCCAGTTAATTTATTTAAAGGGGTAAGAAGAAAAAGGCTACAAGTGCAAAAAATAGAAGTGGAGTAACTTTTAAAGTTTTTGCTACATACAAAAATCTGGATAGGTACTTGTTTCAATATTGTTGTTTGTATTAATCAACATGCAGAACTCGTACAATTTTAATAAAAATTAAAAAAAAATTAGCTTCTTACACCTTTAATTATTGTTTGTGTCATATTGATTATTTATTTAACACTTTCAGTAGAATTGATGTTAGGTATCTGTCACTTTCAGTAGAATTGAGGTAAGGCCTTACCGGTATCTGTTACTTTTAGTAAAATTGAGGTTAGGGACCTATCCATAGATAGCAATGCACCTATCTATTATCTATTATATTTTCAAATTTACTAGTTAAAACCTTGGAAGAAAAAACAACTAGTTTTTATTTCACTTGTTTAAATAGTTTTAGTTTAAGTTATGTGTAAATAAATATCTACTTAAAAACCATACACTATTGTGGTTTTAATCAACAAACAAACAGAAGCATCGTTTTATGGTCCTTCGAGCAACAATTTAATAACAATTACCAAACAATAAACACCATCTAAGAAAATTATATAATTTTCTTAATACCATGATGGTATTAAGAAAATTATATAATTACCTTCCAACACCCTGTATATTGCATTAGTGATTAGTGACCCTTTATTATGGCTCGAGCCTGTGCACTGCACAACCCAGTGTGAGTTGTGGTCAGTGTTGCCACTCGTTCATTTTATTTCGTACTAGGTGGCTTCGTAATTTCGTACTAGATTGTACTAAATGCTATATGGGTGAAATTGGCCACAGATAGCAGCACCAATAATTTATATATTTGGTTTTGTGTTACGAATATTTGGATGACTGCACTTTTAATTGAATAAATAACACATATATTTAAGTATCCTAAAAAAATAAACTATAAGAGAGACAACCAATAGTTAATTATTATACGAGAGATAATGCAGGCTATTATTCAAGATGGTGAGGTTTACGTCTCGAGTCGCCAGACGAGAGACCTAAATTATCCGAGTGAATATTGCGCATAATCTCGAGTGTAATACTATACTTTAACTACTCCAATAAGTAGATAATTAAATGATTTTCAAAATTAAATAAATAAACATCTGTCAAATGGTTAACCTCACTATTTACCAATTTTAAATGTTATTATAGTCGCCTTTTCCCAATTTAAAACCCGATCAAATCACAGTGAATATTGAAATCGGCCTATCACTGATGCCTAACAACGTGAATAATGAGTTTATTATTCACGTTGTTAGGCAGGAATTTTATAATGAACATTTAACATTATTTATGGAAAAAACCCAAAATTACGCAATGGGAGTAGATAAAAGCATTTTTTTTGGCAGTCCTGCTCGAGAACTTCTAAAAAACTGCAAGTAGCAGACTGCAACGCTGGCTGTAAGATATAAAAAGCCCATAAAAAAGAAGCCTGTGAAAAGAAGGTTGCAGAACACCCAGTGTGATTGCATAATTATTATTATTATTATTTTTTTATTCATGTCACTAACATAAAGTCAGGTGTTTGCATTGTTGCCAAAATAATTAAAAATTATTTTGGTTTTAATTCCGTTTAAACCACACAATTGTGGTTTCGACCAATTTTGTTGCGAAAATATATTCAACTATAAAAAGTACTAGATTTTGCTAAAGCGTACTAACGTACTAAAAAATCAATTTTAGGACTAGATCTAGTACAAAAGTACTAAAAGTGGCAACACTGGTTGTGGTTGAGTGCACACTTTCAACTTCATTGACATTTAACGAAGACGCAATTAAACCAGAAATATATTGGTTAAAATAATATTATCCGTCTTATTTTATTTTATAAAAAATAAAGTATGTTAATTATTAATGTATTAATTTTGTTTAATTAATATTTAAACAAAATTCATTGGCACTAATATGACGTCCCAAAATTTTAAACCAAACAAATAAAATCTCCTAGCGTAGCAGCAGCCAACAGAAATAAAACGTTTGAGCCAACATCACCAACTAAAAATCACCAAACTTATTTACAAATCGCGTTTTGCCGCTTAAAGTACAGTGTTTTTTCACGAACACGGTGTTTTTCTGCAAATAATCTGTAAACAACTTAAGTAAAATACTAACACAAAATGGATAATATTAGGGATATCATAAATGGAGCACAATTATCAAGATTCACTGGGAAAAAAGTCAGTATTTTGGGCCATGTTACTGAATCAGCCCCAAATGGTATGTCTTTTCAATTAAGGGCTGTTGACAATGTTGTTGTGAAAATTAACTTGAAAACGCCTTTGGATGCACCACTTGAAGGATATGTTGAAGTAAGAGAAGAGTGATTTATATATTTGCACCAAATTAACAAATTTTTTTTTAGGTTATTGGAAAATCAGAAGGAAAGTCGGTGATGGCTGATGATTTTATAATATTTAACAATGAGAAAATGGATGTTAAAGCCCACAACACTTTGTGCACCTTACTATATTCTGTACCGAACATTTGGAATACTGCATAATGCTCAGATAATAAGAATTATTTGTATTGTATTCATAGTTAATTTTATATTTATTTTGTAATAAAATGTTACCTCCAGACCTAAGGTCTTTTGTTTTTTTTTATAGAAAATCAAAATTCCGTTCTGAAAATGTTGACAGTGTTGTCAGGTCTCAATATTTGTTTATTTAATAATTTAAATAACGACGATTTATTTCCTATTTAATACATAAATAAGTTTTGGAAATTACCAGCAATAAACCATTTTGTACATTAGCAATTTATAATATTATTTAATGGTTTTATATATCTGTTTCGAACAGACTAAACCTGGCAACAATGTAGTGGATGTGTCTGGAATTTGGCTCAATGACAGCTTAAAAAAAAACGAAAATAAACCCACCTAGATATTCACAAAATATTTTCTGAAAATGGTGTTGTCTCGAATTGGCACTGTCTTAAGGTCCCAAAATATTCTTCAAAAAGGAATCAACATTACAAAATTAACCAGAAACGCAACAACAACGAAACATGGAGGTATTTTACATGAACCTTACCGAACCTCATTTGGGATAATAAAGTTAGTTTTTACCGTTGTACCTGGATTGTTAATTGGAGCCGCAATCAGCAAACATATCGCCAATTTCCTTGAAGAAAATGATCTATTTGTGCCATCCGATGATGATGATGATGAAGATTGAAGATGTACCTAGGTAGACAAATTTTAGCCTAATTTGAATTGCTTTAATAAAACACTGTTATTTTAAAAATTGCTTTAAATAAATTGTTAAAACCATATTTTGTTTTATTGTGAAGCCAGTCCAGCAACCATGGATTGTATTATGCATACCCATGATTCTTTGTATCATGATGCATACCTATATGTATTAGACTGTGCCAAAAAAATCAACAATTTTTTTTTTGAAAAGTATATCGAAAATATGGTTTGGGGTGACAAAAAAAAATTATTGTGAAAGTTTGAGTCCATAATATTAATATTAAGAGGTCTATCATCGCAATTTTAATTTTTTTTTCCTCAGCTAGTTTTAGGCTCAGAACTCCCAAACCATTGAGTTTTACAAAATTGACTTAAAAATATTTTTTTAACAAAATTAAATGATCTACAAAAAAGGTTAAATTGAAATTTTCCGTCAGATGAACCGTTTCCTTAGAATCATGCCTTAAAAATTGGTAGGTATACCTATAGGTATAGTTTTACCATTGAGTAAGATGTACTCAATGGTTTTACATTTTGATCTTTTAAATTGGAATTTTGTAATTCATGTAAAAATCAGTACCCTTAAAAAAACGATAAATATTCTTATGGGAAATCAAATGCTTTAAAAAAAGCCTCTTAACATTTTTGGCTAAATTCACTCAATCAAGTTAAGTATTCAAGTTTAAAATTTCGTTTTGACTTTTAAGGCATGATTGTAAGAAAACGGTTCATCTGACGGGAAATTCCAATTAAACCTTTTTTGTAGAGCATTCAATTTTCTTAAGTCAATTTTGTTAAACTCAATGATTTGGGAGCTCTGAAAAAAAAACTCGCTCAGGAAAAAAAATTCTAAAATTGCGATGATATACCTCTTAATATTAATATTATGGACTCAAACTTTCACCATAATTTTTTTTTGTCACCCCAAACAATATTTTCGATATACTTTGATATAGTCGATTTTTTTGGCCCAGTCTAATATGTATATTATATACCTATAACAAACCATTATGTTAATGAAATAGTGCATTTAGTTTGGAAAAAGTGACGTTAAACCCGTTTGATACTCCAGATTGGGAAAAAGTGAGGTTAAACCAGTCTGACAGATGTCAGATTGGTAATAACTAAGCGTGAGTTAAAACCGTTTGACAGATTTCATGGTGATGTAATGTCAGATAAAAATAGCTTTAACCCTTTAACGGGCAAATTATTTTATCTTATTTTTCTTGGATTTTAAAATAAAATCTGGTCGAAATGGAATATTAATTGACAAAAAATAATATATTATGATTATATTTTCGCTAGAAGATTTTTTTTGAGGTGGCTTTTATATGTGCCACTCAGAGCTGTCACAAGTCACTTCTAAAAAGACTTAAGTCATCCCAAGTAACACCTCGTGAAGAAATCGTTGCAAAATTTGTTACGATTTCTACTTGTCGTGAGCTCAACGTGATCCCGAAAATTTATAGATTCTGTGACTGATACAGTGGCCAAACCGCACTAATTTTAACCCCCGAAATCTTCACGAAGGCGTGCCTACAAGTCGTGACAATTTCTTTATGTTTTTTATCACAATAATGTGACGAATTTGACACTAAATCCGTGGTAGAATCTGCTTTGCAGTTTTGTGACGAATTAGTGACGATTATTATTTACTGTCAATGCATACTTATTAAATTTAATCACTTCCTGTCCATGGTCGCTCAATAATGAAAGCTAAATTTCTTTAAAATTTTTTTACAGAAATTTAGCTTTCATTATTGACCCACCATGGTCAATAACCGATTAAATCTTATATTATATATATAAGTATGCATTTACAGTAAATAATAATAACCAAATTACATAAATTAATTTCCTTTGCTAAATAAGACACATTTATTAATTAAATATTAATTATTTATTAATAAAAAATGTACATTTAATTACATACGTAGATGTACTAAATTTCAAAGACCCATTTTTGTGGGTATACAAAAATATTCTATGTATAGAATAATCACCACAGACACAAAAACTAAACCAGTAAACAAAGTCACCTGTTACGTCGCATGTTAGTCTACTCATCCACTCGTCAAAATAATTTCTGGGAACATTTTCGTTTCGCGCTGACCGGCGCGACTTCGACTTGTCTGTTCCACCTACAATGTATTTTCCCTATGTATAGCTTGCAAATGAAGGTACGGTATATAAATTATTGAAAACAACGTCATCAATATATTGCAACAAATATATACCGAAAAGAATACAATTACTGAACTAATAGGAATTTTAGCAAAATTGCAAGCCAAAGTAATTAAAACAATTTAAATTAAACTCACCTTATCTATAAACCATTGAATAAGAACAAATGATAACAATAAAAACAACAAAAACGCAGCACGTGTGTGGGGCAGCCTCTCTACAAAACAACGACAATGAAAATGGCTGACCAGAGAATCTGACAGAGATAAAGAAGGTTATAGAACGCCCTCTCTCGAGAGATCTCGTTCCTAAAAACACGAAAACGTCACGAATTAAGTGCACTGCAAACGTCACAAATTTTCTATGAAGTATCTATTTAAAAAGTTACTTTATAACGAAAAATCTTCACGGTTCCGTCAAAAATTTAGAAGTGACGCAGGCGTCACCTTCATTTTGATAACGTATTTATATAAAAATGTACTTTATAAAGAACGAGCGTGACGATTTCGTGAAATCTAGTAGAATGCCGTCACGTCGTGTTACTTGGGATAAGTCGTAAGTCTTTTTTGAAATAAAAATGACTTAAGTCTTAAGTCATTTTTTCTATAAAACAGAAATAGATTTAAGTCTTAAGCCTTTCAAAAAGACTTAAGTCTTTTTTTTAAGCCTTAAGTCTTATTAAAAATGACTTAAATCAAATATATAACGACTTAAATCTAGAAAAAGACTTAAGTCATTTTTAGGGACTTAAGTCCCTAAAAATACTTAAGTCGTTTTTAGATTTAAGTCGTTTTATAGATTTAAGTCGAAAAAAAAAGATTTAAGTAAAAAAAAAAACAAATACCTTACTCATTTTGAGAGATTCAAAACAAGATCAAAGAGTATATATCTAATAGATACTCTTTGACAAGACTTTTAATGAAATTTATTTTTAAAATAGGTGCATAACAAAAAGTTGATCACTTAATTAGTCAATTATTGTATTGTACTGGCACACAGTGTTGGAAATGCCCAAAAAGCTGGCCAAAACCTATAAAATCTACATTAATATATTTGAGTAAATTTAATTTTTTTTCATTAGTAAACTAATAAAGGTATGTTAAAAACATATAACAAATTTCTTAAGTTTCATAACTGATTTAGTAGAGAAGGTCAAATTTGAACTTTCTTGAAGTGATTTCAAGTAACCAGTAAAAAAAGTATACTTTTTTAAATATTATTTTTTTAATTATCATTAAAGTATATGCTATTTTTTATTACTTATTTTAGGTGAATAAAACGATTTTTTAGTGAAAACATATTTATTATATATGTAACCAAACTTATGTAAAATTATTGTAATTTTTAAAAAATGATTTTGTTTAGGACATCCACGAGCCGGAGCTCAAATTTTGTCATGATCAGAAAGTTAGTACCTTGGTGTGTTAGTACCATGAAAAATTGGATCCGGTTTGATCCGGTCCTGGGTGCTATCCATAAATTACAGTTTGCTTATTTAAAACTTATGTGAAAATTGTTTAATAACTTTTAAAGTAACTTAATAATTTTTTAATATAAAAAATACTAGTTATAACCAGAGATGGGAAAATTCCCATTTGACGAAAATTCCCGGAAACTTTCCATCGAAAATTCCCGAAATTTTCCGAAAGTTTCAAAAAAAATTTTTTATTGCGAAAATATTTTTTTTATGCCAGGGATTTGCATTAACTTTTTGTCAAATTTTTTTAAGAAAAAAATAAAAAAATGTTTATAAGAATGTAACTGCAATACTATTTTTAGTATCTTTTACTTTGGAATATTCCTATTGTATACTGAAACCTACAAAATAAAAATAAAATGTTTACTATTAGAAATTCACTGCTAGTAAATCCTAGATATTACGTAAAAAAATTAAAAGGGACAAAGTAACTAATATACCTATAGGAATATTGAAAAGTAAAAAGTAAAGTAAAAAATAATTCCAAACACTAGATTTTTCTCTTTTCATTATGCTATGCCTATAAATAAACAACAAAAATGTAAGAATGATTTTAACTTTGTTTATTGTTTTTATTTTGTTTACCTTTTTTTAAGTTTTTTGTGATGATGCTGGCTTCATTGAGGTTATGTAACATAACTTACATTATTTATACTTCTTCTGCTTTAAATTAATACACATTAAATTTTATTCAAAGTTTCTTGGCCTTGTATCATGGCCTTAACGAAAATCAGCGGTTAAACAATTGACATTTAAATGAAAAAAACAAGGAAAGTTTTCAAGGAATGTTTCCAAGGAATGTTTCCGGTAGCTTAAAAGAAACTTTCAAAATGAAAATAAATTCCCAATTGGAAACTTTCCAAAACGGAAAGTTTCCTTAAAATGGAAACTTTCCGATTCCCATCTCTAGTTATAACTATAGTTAACTTTTAAACACCTTTGGCGTATTTAGTTCGCCAGGGACGGACTAGCTTTAATTTGATTATGTCAATTTTTTCAAGCGTGTAACATTGTTACACTGTAACAATTTAAGCCTCTATACATGGTGTTGCATGAGGAAACCGACATAGCTTAAGGGTTGGTGTAGTTTTCAGAGGTGAATCCGAATCTGGCTTTGAAAAAATTCGGAGGTCCTTCGTTTAAGAGTTACAGGGTGATTTATGTATTTTGTCGAAAATTTTGAAAAATCATATCTTGGGAATGGATCAATAGAATCGCATAAAATTTTATATACATACTTAAGTATAAAGTACCTACACAGCGCTGTATCGGACATTCAAAAAAAAAAATCAGGACCGGACCTCAAATTTTTTTTTATTTTTTTCCCACTAAAAACACCTTGTATATATTTTTTCTAAAATCCAAAGTCATTTTCTGAAAAGTTCTACCAAAATGGCCAATAAAATTTAACGGCACCATCAAAGCGTTTCAAAAAAAATTATCGAAACATTTTACAGTTTTTAATTTTTCTTCGACTTTTCGACTATTCCAATAAATCAGCAAGCGATTTGAAATCATCAGTTAAGGTTTTTTTGCAATTTAAAAAAATGTTTACTTATTCTAGTGAAGCTTCAAGACCGTAATTATTTGTTTTGTGGACATTAAAAAAAATTGAGTAAAAAATATTTTATCCATAATCACACCAAAAAATTATTAAATCATTATTTATTTATTTTTTTACGAATTTAATTCTTATCTATTTGTCATTTAAAAAAGAATTAAATCATTATTTTGACTTAAGTCATTTTAAAAAGATTTAAATCATTTTTAGACTTAAGTCATTTTAAAAAGATTTAAATCATTTTTAGACTTAAGTCATTTTAAAAAGACTTAAGTCATTTTTTTGTTTTAAGTCATTTTAAAAAGACTTAAGTCCTTACGCAAATGTAGAAAAAGCTTAATAATACAAATCATTTTGAAAATGACTTAAGTCTTAAGTCTCAAGTCGTCCAAAAAAAAAGAGACTTAAATCAAATGACTTAAGTCACAAAAATGACTTAAGCTTTCTGATGTCTGACAGCTCTGGTGCCACTAAACGTTTTCATAAACCAAAAACACTTGTTGTTTGGTGGCTAGCCATATAGCCACTTATTTTGTAAAGAAAACACAAACATTTTACTAAAGAATATTTATTTAAAAACGAAACAAACGAAAACGTAAAATTTGCAAACATAATATGTTTATATAAAGTACATTGTACTATATTATAATACAAACTAAATAACCGTTAAGTAAAAATCTAACCATTCTTATGAAATTCTGCGAAACATTCTAAACAAAGACCAACATTACACTCACTACATGTTATTTTTGATCTTTTGACATTTGTTTTGGAGCAACGTGCGCATTCGTTTTTCTTGTCATTGGTGGAAATAGAGCGTCCCCCAACTTTACGCATTTTATTTTTTATAGTATATTATATATTATATAGTATATTTTTTATAGTATACTATAATCAATTCAATTGATAAAAAAAAGCTAGGTCTCATTTACAATTTAGAACAATACTGGCTAATGAACTGATTGGTGACTTTTTCGGTAGAAAACGTAGATGTGCACAAACTACTATAGTAGTTTGTGCACATCTACGTTTTCTACCGAAAAAGTCACCAATCAGTTCATTAGCCAGTATTGTTCTAAATTGTAAATGAGACCTAGCTTTTTTTTATCAATTGAATTGATTGAAGTTGAATTTTTCCTGGAATCTTAGGTTTTTCGTCCATTTCATTGGGAAATCGGTAGATGAATTAGTGTCAGGTAGAAACTGAACTTCTTCTTCGTTTTCGGGTACGTCTTCTATTTGAAATTCATCTGAAAATAGGCTTTCCATCCAGACCTCCACTTCTGGCAAACCAAAATCTTCCTGATTGGCATCATCTGAGCTGGAGGAATATGAAGATAGCCGCCTTTTTGAGTCTTTTTTTTTCAGGAAATGTTGTTCTTGTCCGCAATTGAGTCATCCGAGTCAAAATCTAATAATTGGTTTTCAAAATCTATTAACTTTTTATTTCTTACACTGGAGGGGCCAGGTGTAGAAGAAAAAGATGGATCAGGTGTCAAAATAATAGAGGAACAAGATGTACCAGGACTACCAGGTATTGATACCAAAACAGTGTCTAGCGTCGCTATAGCGGGATATATCCCCCCCAACGTCGGATTGTTGAGCCATATCATCAGTAACACCATCAATAAAGTCGTACACTTTATAAGCAGATAGGCGTTCTAGTTCCTCAATATTAATTTTGTCTCGATTTGAATTAATTTTCTGCAAAAAATTAAATGTCATTAAGTCCGTTTCTGAGAAAACGAAAAATAACCTTAAAAACTGGGACAAATACTCTATAATAATCGTTGTATTTCCTTAGCGCATATATTGTTTTATTAAAATTCAACAAAAACTAAATCTTATATTATTAAAGCAATTAAAATAATACTTACAATTGTTCTAATATAACACACTTTTACACAGCACAATATAATGTAAATGTACTTGCTCTGGAAAATAGGCAACGGCTTGCAATTGTTAGTGGCACACATAGAAGCCACTTATGTTTTAATTTGACGGGAATAGGGATATCCCACATATGTGGCATCTGATATCCCACATATGTGGCATCTGTAGAAGCCAGTGAGCTTTGCGCACGGTGTAAAAAGCTATTATGGGTCAAAATCGTTCGTATTTTTACTCGTTTAACGACCTTATTGTAAGTGGCTTGTATGGTTGCCACTAACTGCTAAAGGGTTAAATTCTAAAAAAAACTTTACTTTGTGTTTGTCCTAGATGGGGTATAGTATACAATTCATATATATATATATATATGAATTGTATACTATACCCCATATATATAAATTATATATAAACTTCTTTAAGCACTCTTTCAATAAAAACCTTCTTTATCTCTGATTAGAAACTCGCTAACGCTCGAGCATAATAATAATTCATGTAAATACACTTTGCCAAGACATTAAAACACATTTTCTTGGATTATTTATTAAAATCTAGTTTATATAAAATCGAATCCTCGTTCAATAGTTCGAAGATGAGTGGTAAGGTAAACAAATAGTACAACTCTTCGTCGTAAAATGACGATCTCTTAGAACTATTTTACCTGAGTACAAAATGTTTTGAATATTGATAAAAAACACCCAAATTATATGAAATATGTTTATCTGCTTTAGAGCCGTTTCACATGCGACTGATAAAGTCCTGACGATCAGTCCTGATGATACGGACTGACGGTCATGACCATTGTTTCACAAGCAACGTATAGTACGGAAATGTCTACTACGAGACGGTTCTCAGCGCCTCCGGAACTGCGCTGTTGTCGCTTTTTGTATAAAGAGAATAATACAACGCAAAAAATTCTTCTTAAATTTCTTTCGCAAAATTTTCAAAATCCGGAACTACTATTTACGCTACTTCTTCAAATGCTTTGTTCTTTGCATCCCTATTTTTGAAGTTCTCATCATCTGCATACCAGATGCATCTTCGCTGTTCGATGCTATTTATTACAATTTCAGTATCAATGCGTAAACTACTCATTTTGCAACACTGTTTCTGCTGACCGTACGTACCATATGAAATACTCCATATAATTAACAGCCCTTAATAGTCCTGACGGTACGCAGTGCGCACGGGCTGTCCCGATGCCCGTGCCGACGAATCAGTCAACCGATGATACGCAGTGCATGTGAAAAAGTTCATTTAAACAATGGCCCCTAGTCATCAGGACTGACCATCAGGACTGATCGTCAGGACTTTATCAGTCGCATGTGAAACGGCTCTTACATGTTATTTTATTTACTTATTATTTATATAGTATTCTTGTGTATGACCCATATGACTGTTTTGTTTTGTATTTTATTTTTATTTGAACTGTGTAAGTCGCCAGGGTTTTTATGGTCCATTTTCTCTGTACTCTGACTCAACGGGCCACCCCTTTGTCTTTGCTTAAATTAAATCAGGGGTTTCAAATTAAATACTTGTGTTTCATTAAACTGACCAATTTCAAAATAACGTTAATATCAATGTACGTAAAAACACAACGTAGAGTCCAAATTTTTATAAAGTAAGTAAATTAACTAGGCGATCACGAAAATGCCAAAACAAGTATTTCAGTATACTTAAAGAATCGGGTTACGAAAATACATAGTGTACCTTACACCTTTATAAAAATAAACTCCATAAATTAATAAATGTTTATAATTTGTTAAAATTTTAATAAATTATGCTGTTGATAATAATTTAAAAAACAATGTTATAATACTGCTATTAATATTGCAAGAATACAGCTTTATAGTGCTTAAGTATAAAATCCTAAAGTAAATGTTTTCGTTATTCTGGGGGTTTTTTGTGATTACCCCATCCATGGAAACATTTGGTAAACCTTTTGGACTCCTTATCTTTCAGGGTCAAAAACAATTTTCTTGGTCTGTCAGGTTGCTTCACTCTCATGTGTTGGATGTAAACTTGAGCTGATTTGTAGGCAAGTTTAATTTCCACTTCACTACACTTTGCACCCAGCCACAAAAATACCTGTTCCCCATTATCTAAGATCATGATGTCATCATCTGCTAAATCATCCTAAAACAAGCAGTAAGCTTAATTTTAAGAAGAGCTGTAAGTTGAAAGATCTCCAGATAACTCATTTATTAAATAGCGTTTTTTAAAACATACAGGGTGTTTCTTTTAACTTGAGACAGCTCAATATCTCGAGAAATACGCATTTCACGAAAAAATGTCTTAAATAAAAGGTTAATGTGACTAAAGGGGACATTATTTGGTGCTACCGCTAGCCACCCCCTACCCCTCCTTAAGGGTGAAACGGGGGGTAACTTTGGAAAGTCAAATGGAATGACCCGATTTTTTTCACAGAGTTTGGTAGTACATAAAAAAATAAATAACTTTTATTTAAAAAATTTTTCAATTTATCAACAGATGGCGCTGTAATTCAAAATTTAAGAAAAATGAGTTTCCTTGTAAAATGTATTATTTGAAACGTTTGAAAAACAAAAATTAACATTAACAACAATAGTCGGCTATGAAAACAATTTATAACAAATGTTTGAAATGTCGTCATTCCATTTCAACACATTTTTGAATGCGGGTAATGAATTCTGGCACACAACGCGCCAACGTATCGGGCGGTATCGCCGCACAGGCGTTCCTGATCCCCACTGGAAGAAGTCTGGTGGCGTAAGATCAGGTGATCGAGCAGGCCAAATTACTGGACCACGTCTACCGATCCACCGCGGTGCACCGGCCATTGAACTCCCGATCCAACACCTCTCGAGCAATTGTCGAATAATGTGCAGGACAACCATCTTGCTGGTACCACATGTTTTGGAGCCGTGCTAGTGATACATCCTCCAAAAGGTCCGTCAGATCGTTTTCTAGAAAATTCCGGTACTTTTCGCCATTTAATGCACCGTCAATAAAGAAGGGTCCGATTAATCGTTCGCTTAAGGTACCTCACCAAACGTTTACCGACCAGGGACGCTGGTGCTCCACTTGGTGTCGAAATGGAAGGACGACATTTCGAACATTTGTTATAAATTGTTTTCAGAGCCAACTATTGTTGATTTAATGTTAATTTTTGTTTTTCAAACGTTTCAAATAATACATTTTACAAGGAAACCCCTTTTTCTGAAATTTTGAATTTCAGCGCCATCTGTTGATAAATTGAAAAAAACTTTCAAATAAAAGTTATTCATTTTTTTATGTACTACCAAACTCTGTGAAAAAAATCGGGTCATTCCATTTGACTTTCCAAAGTTACCCCCCGTTTCACCCTTAAGAAGGGGTAGGGGGTGGCTAGCGGTAGCACCAAATAATGTCCCCTTTGGTCACATTAACCTTTTATTTATGACATTTTTCCGTGAAATGCTTATTTCTCGAGATATTGAGCTGTCTCAAGTTAAAAGAAACACCCTGTATATAACTTACTTGACAGAAATCGGAGCATTTTTCTGAAACAATAAAGTACCCTTTTTCATTTGAGCATCTGAACAACCTCGTGTATTCCATAAATGTGGCATCAGTTTCATAGGGCTTCTTCCCACCTAAACAAACACTGATAAGTACGAAAAATGCATTTTCATTTTATTACGTTACCTAATCCAACCCAGAAAAAGTTGTCTGGCTCTTCTCCCTCAGCAAGAACTTGCAAACTAACCCAAGGAGTGTTAAATGACTCCTCCGCGATTTCCTGGATTAACAGGGCTTCATCAGGATCCGATTTCGAACCAATCCAGACGTAAATAATTGCGGAGTCCTCTTCTTGTTCGAATGGCACATTTAAAATATAACTAAAAAAAAGAATATTGATAAAAATTACTTTTTTCTATTAGGTATGTATTACCAAAAGGCAGAATTCAAGGCGGTAGCATCGGGTTTAATTTGAACTAAACGCGTGTAGAGGGCGCTTCCGTTCGATCTAAGATGGTAGAACTCAACTGCATTCTTCTCTTTTTGTTTGCGTTTTCCCTGGTGGATTATGAATTTTCGTTTGAAATGTGCCATGAATTTCATGTTTTCTTGTTGCTAAAACAAAAATATAATGAAAAAACCAAGGAAAATAAATGAGATATTTTTTTTTATAATCTTGATTTTAATTGTTTTTAAACAGTATGAGAAAAAATATGGTGTATACTAGAGATTGGAAAATTCCCATTTGACGATAATTCCCTTTCAGTCGAAAATTCCCGAAACTTATTGCGGAAACGAGTTTTTTGTGCGAGGATGGCAAAAATAAATAGGCTATCTATATGGGAATATTGAAAAGTAAAAGATACTAAAAATTGTATTGCAGTTCTGACCAATAAAATATGAAAAAACTACAGGCAAAATAAAATTAACATTTTTGAGTGAGCCTGACACAGTGGGCCTGAACCAAAAAAAGGTTGCATGAAAATGACACCGAAATCGGGCTTCGGATCTTTAAAGACTAATATTAAAGGAGTTAAGATCAAATGAAAACAAAATCGCACCTGATCCTCAATGGATAAAATAGCCAATTCTTGTTCGGTAAAAATCATAATTTTTAATTGTATTGATTTTTTATTGTTCCCCATACTCATATGGAGGCCATGAAAATAAATGTCAAAGTTAATTCTTATTAATTAGTTTTGTGTCTGGATTGTTGTGATTTTTAACCCGTTTTATTTAAAAAAAAAAAATGAAAACTCACTCTAAAATAAAATGTAGCCATGAAGAAAACAGAAAAAAAGTATGTGCTGCCTGCGGAAGAAAAATTATTTTTGGAAAAACTAATTCTTCAAAATTTCTAATTAATGAAAGAACGCAAACGTTACTGCAAAAATTCTTAAATAATAATGGATACCTGCTTTCCTCTTGCTATTTCCACCACTTGTCGCCTTGCCCTCACATATCGAGAGAAAAATGTTATGAAAAGACCTTTACCGATCATTCCAAATTTTGAAGTCTTATGTTTACCAAAAACCACTAGAAGCAATGAAGAGTGTAATTGTTACATTTGCTCAACTGCGAGGTTCAAGGGACACGAAAATTTGATTAAGGGCCGAGGACACACTCGAAACTCGAATCAAGTAATTGATAATGAAAATGGACTTCACGGCTCAAAAAATATTTTTACCACGAAGGTGGGAGCCAAAAATATACAGAAACATGTTTTTCTTCTGAAAGCTTTAGAGAAAGTAATGATTCTTGTGTTCAAGAAATATCAGCGAAAAGTTGAAAACCTATGGAGACTTAAGAAATAGCTCATCATTTGGAAAAAATAAAAATTTTGCCAGAGATTGCCATAGCCCAATAAATCCCCCTTTGTTTCAAGAGGATGATGAAGTCTACGTCATAGAAAAATGTGTTATTCCAGAGCTACACATCTTACAAGGGTACGTTAACCATTTATTTTGGAATGGATTGGTACCATTATTAGGTCGCGATCGGGCTCTTAGTGGCCAAAGAAACTAAAATTGGTTGCAAAGAACTATCAAGGCGAAACTTTCGAAGGGAATGCATGCCGTAAGCTACTAAAAGAAGCAGATATGCTCTTGGATCCAGAAATTTAGTGTAAGTAGGTGTATTTGGAATTATGAAATACGTGTCGGCGTCTCGGTCGGCGTTCAAAGCAATGAATAAAGTCGTCGAAAGCTCATTTTCTACCAACATTGTCTCTCTTGAAATTGATGAGCGGATTAAGGCTTTTCGGAAAGCGTTTGAGGCTGTGGGCATATCCGAGAGCTTGAAAATTCATGTGTGTCTGGAACATATACAGCATTCGCTGCATTTTTTGAAATATTACCTGATGGTTTCGGTTTGGGTCTTTGTTCGGAACAGGCAGGAGAATCGGTGTGAGTTTTTGAAGTATTGGGATCGATATAAAATGAATTCAATATAAGATCCTAACTATCTAGACCGGCTTAAAAAAGCGGTGGTCGAATTTTCATCTCGACATATTTAAAATTAATTTATTTTTCTCATTTAATAATTAAAACCTATTAAAGTTTATTTGCAACTGTAATTTGCTGTTTTTTTGTTTTTATTATTTACGTTGTTTGAGTTTTTCTAGACCAATATGAACGCCACAAACAATTGGCCGTTATATTCATTGAGGATCTGATGCGATTTTGTTTTCACTCGATCTCAACTCCCTTAATGTAAATCTTTAAAGATCCGAAGCCCGATTTTGGTGTCATTTTCATGCAACCTTTTTTTGGTTCAGGGCCTGAACTTCAGGCCCACTGTGCTGAGTCTATTGTTTTTAAAAATACAGGATCTGGAGTTGCTAAAATTATATTTATTAGTGCCACCCCATTAACATCTGTCCAATCATCTAAAAGAATTGTCATATTATCAGCCTCTTGTACTTTATCTTCAACTACTTTTTTGATTCTAGCATATTCAGAGTTAAGCAATGTTGTACTTAATTTATTTCTTCCAGGTACCTTGAAACTTGGACGTAGTAGCTTAAAAAATATAACATCAGGGTTTTCGACTAAACGGCAATATCAGTGATATTATATCACGCGCGCAAAACGCACGAATTACAAAACGGTTTTTATAAAAAAAATGTAGATAATTTATTATATAATATTTTGGCTTAAAAATTGTCAAACATATTCTTCTTTTATTAGGCTATACATATTTTATAAAAGTAGAGATAATTTTAATAACCTGTCAATTATAAAAATTATCTCTACTTATAAAATATTTCTTGCGTTTTTTTTTATTTTAATGTACCTATAGCCTAAAAAAAAGAATATATTTGACAATTTTAATGCAAAAACAATGTATACCTAATAAATTACTTAGGCACAATTTTTTTATAAAAACAGTTTTGTGATTTGTTCCGTCCGTGTGCTTGAAATGGCCGTAAACTAAAGGGGCAAGAACTAGAGTAAATTGCTTGAGCAAATAGTTCTTCCAATTTATTGTGTTTTTTAAAAGAGATGTTATGAACAAACTCTTGTTTCCAGTACTGGTGGACTCCTTGACTTTCAGAAGACTTAAAATTTTGCATAGATAATCTTATAATATAAGATGTTATCTTGTGGGGCACAAATACACTTTTTTATATGTTTGACCATTTTGGTTGCATTAACGACATTTATTTTGTAATATTTACAAATATAAGATTTTTTTCTTGGCATTGTACTGTACAGTTCATTTTTTTTATCTGGACTCGTGTTTTTTTGTTAGGTTGGTGGCTTATACCAGTTTGACTTAGTATTTTTAGTATTTAAAAATGGTACTTCTGCTAAAGAATTTAATTAAATAAATAATAAGATAATTGAGGGGCCTAGAAGTAAAAGGGTTTAAGTGCATTTTTGTTAGTTCTGAGATAAATGGCTTTAAAGTTAACTTGAATTTTGAAATTCTAGGAAAGAGTTTAAAAAACTGTGTGAATATTTTAGTTTTGTTTAAAGACTTAAAAGGATTATAAAGAAAAAGGAATTTTTCAATTTCGCTTTTTTGTTTTTTTTTTTACAAAAATGTACTTGAATAGTAATGCATGTAAGACAAAATTTAGTGGTAAAATGATTTAAATGAAATTACTGTACAGTACATACTACAACAAATCTTTATTTTTTAAAATTTGGGTAACAAAAAGTATTATTCATAATCAGAATCTAATACAACGTTTTCTTCATCTGAATTAGCTGGTCTTGGTTGGGGTTGATCTAAATTGGATTTTTTTTGGCCCAATGCTATGGTCTAAGTTTGTTTCTTTTTTTCCTTTTTTTTCTGATGGATCTCCATCGTGCTCTATGTTTTTTAAAAAATAAGTGGTAAATTGGCGGAATATAGTCCAATAAGGTAAATAAATTTTTAGGCTTAGCGGCTTTGTTTTCTTTTTTTAGTTTTTGCTAGAGTTACATGGCCTTCTTCTTCTACTTCTTCATTGATGTCAGGAACATAGTTACTATGTTAAATCCTCATCAGTCTGGACCGATGCCATAATCGTAACGCTAGCCAATGTCGTTCCGACCCCGGTCACAATATGTCGAAACAAGCTACTTGTCAAGGCTTTAGCAGCATAGATAATAGCCTATGTTTAGCAGTAAAAGGTGCACTTGAATCGTTTTACCAAAGATATATTTTAAAATATTTTGACAGGTTTTTAAAGACTATAAGAAATGGCGCCAGGGAATGTAATACGTACTTATATAATTTTACCACTTTAAAAAAGTGCACTTGAACCGTTTTACTTCCAAGCCCCTCAATTATGCCAAAACCTTCATTTTGATGAAATTATGCCAAATGCCACAATGGAAGAAAAAGTGCATCGCCTTGTGGACATTTTTGGAGTAAAAAAGTAACGAATTTGGTTTTATAAATATTACATCACACATTATTTTCACATTATTCATCATTGGACAACATTAACGTTCACAAACAATTTTAATTTCCTTTATATAAATTCTTTTCAAAGCGAATATTATTATCCGCTAGGAATACTTTCTCTTCTGGGCCGTAAAGCAACCTATATTTAAATACTTTTTTATATGATTTTACTCATCCAAGCACCACCAAAGCCAAATTAATGGGGTAGTTAAATTTTTTCTGACCCATACTTTTTATGGTTTTATTCAAGGCGTTTTGTAATTTTAAACATTTCTGTGAAATCGGAATTTCAATTGAGTTTACCGTTTTCGAGATATTTACAAAAAAAAAATCTCCTAATTACGTCACTAGGCTATTGACAACGTTGCCAGCTTTTTCTATGGTTGCCAGTGTGTTTAGTTTAAGATTCTTACGATAGATGGCGCCACGTTGTAATATTTTAGTTTTAAAACCACTGGATCTATAATTTTAGTTGAGAAGAAGAAGAATTGATTTTTTGACGTTTCTTTTTTTCGGGTTATGTTTTTTTTAATTTAGATTATTGAAAATCAATGTTATTGTTATGTTATTTGTAATTGATATTAGATAAGTGATTTATTAATAATGGACTCCAAAGCAGAGGAATCTTAAGACAATTGTCTTTGTAGACCCTGCACTATATTTACCTACTATGTACGTTATTCCAGCAATATTTAAACCAGAATTGTCGAAAAGTACAAAAATGTACTCTAGAGCGTAGTAGTATCTTCGAACAGTCCAAAAGTTTGTCATACATTTTTTTAATCTTACAAAAGGTTTTGATGCTCATCATCAGGGATGCAAGTTTTATAAAAACTATATACAAATATCATAAATACCATTGTTAACTTACATTTACTGTTATTTTTTGTAAATTTATTTCATTCATTTTCAGCTTTATTTTGCCACTTTTTTCTATGAAATATATTAAACTCTGCTTTAGACAGTTATTAGGTACCTATTTATTACATTTTATTAGTTTCACACGGTGTTTCAATGTGTAAACCTATCAATAAAACTTTTAATTTCAGAATTTCCTCCTCCTCTTCTTCTTTTTCTTTCACTCAACTGACAGTGACAGTATTTGTACATAACCTCTTCGGGTATTTTCTGACATAACCGAATGAAATCATTAACAAGACAACTTGACAACAGGGTATTTTTCAACCAATAGAAATATTAGAATGTTGGTCACATGGCGAGGTTTGTGACGTCATAAAAATTTATATTTTTTGTAAATATCTCGAAAACGGTAAACTCAATTGAAATTCTGATTTCACAGAAATGTTAAATATTACAAAACGCCTTGAATAAAACCATAAAAAGTATAGGTCAGAAAAAATTTAACTACCCCATTGCATTTTTAACTACGAATTTCGACAACTCAACTTGACAACTGCACAATGTAGCCTACAATAATTTATACATAACCACAATTAGATTTATAACTTAGCTTAGTTGGTTTTAATCAATGCGACCAACTTGACAACTGTATTTACCAACCAAAACCCTAAATTTGCAACGTTGCCGCAGTCCAGATAAAAATTAACTTTAGCTATAAATAAACAACAAAAACGTGATTTTAACTTTGTTTGTTGTTTTTATTTTGTTTACCTTTTAAAAGGCTTTTATGCAGTGTTTTTTGCAAACGATTTATGAATTGTGAATCACAATTTGTGATGAGATCTTCAACAAACTTCTTCTTTAACCCTTTATAGGGTATTGGGACGTTATTGTCCCACCCCTGCTCCGACAGAAGTCCTTTGGACGAGATGTGTCTCACCTGTTTTAGCAGATGCGTAGGACACTGTAGAGCAGATAAAAAGTGCCAATTAAAAAACGGTTTGTTTATTCTCACCTAAAAAGTGCTTTACATTGTGCAGGTGTGTAGTGTTGTAAATTAAGGTAAGTTTAATGGATTTTTAATATTTAATATTGGCTACTTACTCGTACTTCTTATATTTCGGCCTTAGAAACATACAATGGCTCCAGTAACGATTTTTTACATAAAGTTTAGAAAAAAATTGCCATTAGTTTTAAATGATTAGCTGAAATACATCAACTTATCCTATTTCTACAAGGTTTTCTGTAATAATATCTACAAGTTTCAAAGTAATGCCTATTTCGGCTTGGAAGATATTTGACAAAATATAAAAAGTCCACACACTTTTTTATACGTTTTCTTATTTGTTTTTCATGTATAAAATAAATTTTATTTTAATTTATTTGTTTTATTATGCATTTTCTTGTTCATTTTATGTAGGTACGCGTTTGGAAAAAAATAAAAGTTTTAAGTGGCTTCATTTCAAAGAGATGAAGAGCCCTTTGGGACAATATTATCCCACCAAAATTTTGAGTTTAGAGCCCTTTGGGACAATATTGTCCCACCAAAAATTTTGAGTTTGGGGCAGGTAAAAAAAAATTTTTATGTACTATGATCAAACTGAACTTGTTTGTAAACTCCTCACCAAAGCTCATTGCAATATTTTGAATGCCACCCTTTTGCCCTATAAAGGGTTAAATTAACACAAATTAACTTCTTCTTCCCTATCTAGTTTCTTGGCCCTAACTTCGCAAATCAGCTGTCAAACAATTGACATTTACATACAAAAACAGGGAAAGTTTCCATGGAAAGTTTTCGGTAACTTAAAAAACATTAAAATGCTTCAAGAGAGAATTAAGTAGGTACCATTAATTAAAAATTTTAAGGGACAAAGTCTTAATACCAATTTTCATATGAAAATTCGAGTGTGTAGAAAGTTTGTAAGTTAGTCAAATAATGTGGCCAGGGACTGGGACATAATATTTAGTTTCTTACCTGGTGGGTCCTGACAACTTCCAACTTATCTCCAAACAAAGCCTTGAACTTTTTCTGCAAAGTAAAGGTAAACGTCAGCCAGCCCATATTCGAAGCCTCCCTGCCCTGCCAGAAGTATACAACGCACTGGAAATCTTCCTGCTCGTCTGTTTCGCCATCGTCGTCGTCGCCCACCGGTGTCCAATAGCGGCAAAGGAAAACGTAGCAATCCTTGGAATGGAAATGTCCCAACTCGTCTTCCGGCAAGCGGGAGAACTTTTTTCCCTCCAGCACGAAGGATTCCATCGCTTCGAGGTCCTCGTTCCACTCTTCCATCACTTGCTGGGACTCGGCTATCGCCATCGGCGGTTGGCGGGGCGTGAACAGGGCGGTCAAGTCGGCTTTGGTTTCTTGCGCCTTAGCCCATTTGGTCAAGTCGGCGCCGGTTTTCTGCACCGATTCCGCGGTACGGGTGAAATCCACCGCGATCACTTCGTCCCAGCCGATAAATTTGCACTTGAAAATCTTCAAAAAAACATTTGTTTTTGTAAGGGGTTATTATAAAATGCTTTACTACATACAAAAAAAGATCAAGTGGACACCAAAAATATTAGTTTAAGTTTATATTTTAGTATGTAATGCAGTGGCGGCTCGTGACCATTCATGAAGGTGAGGCCCATGAACTGCTATATGGCACCGCAGGCATTTTTTTTTGTTGAAATTTTTAAAGTCTCGCGTTTTTGGAGCACTTCAGAATCTAAATAATAAAAATATATTATTTTAAAATATGTTCTTTCACGAGAAGAATTTTCAAAATTTAGCTAGAATAATACAATAAGTGCGGGACGAGGTGGGATTTTTATTTATTCCTTCAGCAGGTTTCCACATTACCCAGGAGGTACTGCTCATTTTTACCTATCTTACAATAATTATTTTTAATTTAATGAAGGCACTACCGCACAACAACAAAATAATAATGTACAAGCACAGGATTCAACGATTTAACACTGAACTATAAAAAAAATGAATATTTTTATTTATATTTGTTGTGATTTTTACTATAATAGAATATTAAAATAAAAATGATGTTTTATAATTATTTGAATTATTTTTACATGAATTCACAACACAATAATGTATTTTACGCTTGCATTTTTATCACCACTTTCCATTTTAACGCAAGGCAAAGACTAAACAGAAATAAGAAACTATAAACACGCATAGATCTAATTAATAAGCTTTGTTTACTATAACATTCCCCGCCCAGTCTTGTACAACGGCTGATAAGCGAGCCGCACAGATCTCGGGACTGACTCTGCTGTCTTCCATATACTGTGGTACAAGCCCAACTTTGTGGGCCTCAATGTCTACAAAAATTCGCGTATTATCCCCGCCTTGCGGGGGTGCCGGCGGCACCGTGCAGCAGTGGGGAGCATAATGTTGTATCGGCAATGTGTGACGTATATGAAGCGCAAATTTATGGGATTACTATTTCCCTATTATGCGGTCGGGCAATGATTTAAGCGTTCAGAATTAAAGTTGGAAGGGGTGCGCGCTAAATTTAAAGGAAATATTTTAAACTTTAATGGTTATTCTATGTTTTGATACTTTTAATGACTGGAAATTAGTTTTAAAACGTTTTATATTCAAAAAAGTAATGTATCGAAATATTCAAATTATATTATAATTTTAACATGTGAGGCCCGGCCTCAGTTGCTTTACACGACGAGCCGCCACTGATGTAATGTAAAATTGTAGGCACTATTTTAGAACACACTTCTGACTTTTTGTTGCATTGCATATAGTAGGTCTACGCGCGGATGGGAAAACAATAAAAAATAGTTTACATTTCTCAGCAAATTTCATTCTTGATTTTAAATCATCAGGTTTTGCGACACATCATTTTTATTATCCATGGTTAATTTGCAATTTTAATTGTCTTTACCATTTTTTTAAATCATTTTTGGTCAGTTTTTGTTCATTTGTAATTTTCTTTCCAACAAATAAATTATAACGGTAGGTAGAAATCTCTCATCAACTCTCCACGAATGTCATTAAGTTTTACATTTGAAAAAGTATAAAAAACGGCGATAAAAAATGTATTTTTGGCGATAAATTGACAATTAAAGTCTTTGAATAGGTCACTGGAAACAATTACGTTTGAGAAATGATATATGAACAAAAACTTACCAAAAATGATTTTTATCAAAAATTGGCTACCCTATTTAAAAATATTTGTGAAGAAAGTTTTTACAAATGGTTTTTGTAGTAAATTGTATGCTGCCCTTTCTTCTTAGTTGTTTTCAAAATTATTTAGCGATTTATATATCATTTATTAATTGTAAAAAAAAATTGACAAAAGTTTATTTATAAAATTTTAAATAAATATTTACCTGTGGTTCTGTACCTTCCCTTACTCTTGTAACTAAAGCATATTCAGGCCTGTCAATCATATTAAAGAGTTCCTCAGAAAGTTTTACAGCCGCTGCATTAACCAACCTTGTGGATTTTTTACCAATCCTAAAAAAATACAAAATTAAAAAACCCCAAAATTACCAAACTAAATGTTATACAATTACCAAACAAAAACGTCCAAATAACAATCCAAAATGTAAACATTTTTGCTGCCAAGCAGAGTGTTTACCAATTTACCATTGGGTACCTCAACTTGGGGAAGTTCTAGATAACCCATACCCAGTTGCACTTGGTACAGTCTTGGTGGGACTGGTAGAAAATTTTCATCCACGTGTTCCTAAAAATAAAATATTAATAAAATAAAGAAATTATAAACATGTCTCATACTATTGGTGGTTCCTCGGGTTTTTCTCCATTGGGCTCTCCCATAGCCGTCCAAAAGTCGACACTTTCCGTCCCCATTGCTTCGGTAAATATTTCCGCTTTATTTTTCCTCTCGTTCTTGTTAATTTTTTCGCACATTAGGCGCGATTTTGACTTTAAAGTGTTCTTGGCTTTCTTGCCAAACCACAAGAATATTTTGGTGCCCGTGTCCAAAATAAAAACGAATCGCGGATCCAAAGATTCGACGGTTACGGAAACGGCTTCCAAATGTATCGACGGACCAGCACCGTGAATTCTATAGAATCTAGTTTCAAATATCTAAAAATAGTTATTTATAATATATTTTTTATGTAAATTAATTTAAAGCCTACGTTATCTTCCACTGTGAAAAATCCACTACATGTTCTGCCCCCCTCTATGTAAGTTAGAGGAGTATCAAAGAGTCCTAAAAATTCTTCGGATTCATCAGCCTGTTCTTCTCTTATCGTTCTACACTGAGCGCCAAGGTAATTTCTTAAATTAACGGCGTGAATTGCAGAGCATGCTTTTTTATCAAGCTAAAAAAATTAAAACAGGGTAAGTTTTCTATTCGTCAGAAAAAAGTTTTAAGACAAAAAATATAGACCTTGAAATTTTTAACATACCTATTTGTTTATAAAAAAATTACTTTTTGTTGCGATCTCTGTCTTTTTAGAAACTATATACAGAATGTTTTGTCTATAATGTTGAAAATTAAGGACCGTTTTTTTAAAACTCGGTAACTAAAAAATGAATAATTTTCAGCAGAGCATTTTTTTGTTTGATATGTACAATGCTGGTTTATGTTTACTTATCGCTTTTTTATGAATCTGACGCAATAATCGGGTTTAAAAAAACGGTCCCCAATTTAAAGTACTTAATTTTTTTTTGTTTTTACACTTTTTCCGTCTGACCAATGGGTCAAAAAAAGATTCAAATCCTTTTTTTTTAAGGGCGGGAAAACCAGGAATAACAAAAATCAAAATATTTTAAATAAAACATTCATAGAATAACTTAAAAAAATCGTAAATTAAAAGTTTCTTACTGGGGCTTTAGCGCCTATCCAAAAGTATATTTCCCAGGTTAGCGACTGGTTGTCATCCAATCCAGTCTTGAGCACAATGTAGCAGTCGCCTTCGTAAAATTTCCCATAAGCCACCTCATCTATGCGGTTGGGCAGGAAGTTTTCGATTTCCCAAATGGTCAAACCCGGTATTTGCCCGGCGTCTTCTTCGAAAAATTCTGAATAGTCCAATGAAGGTTTTTCTAACGTCTCGTCCCAACGTTTTGGTCTATGCAGAAAAAATGGCTTTTATTTTTTAATTGGTGGCAAATAACGTGATTTTCAAAGATGTGTTCGCCACCCTGTATATTATTTTCCGAGTGCATCCGAACGCAGGGAAAGAGTGGGGATATCTTGCGTTTAAATATTAATTAATTCCTGTTTTTCACGAGTGTAGTCTTTATGCGCATTTTAGGATGTTTAAAAAATTAAAAGGTCATTTTTGGCATCACAAATACGTCCTGCAGTGAATTTTAAGAGACATTGTATTTAGGGCTGCCAGCCCTCCCGATTTAGGCGGGAGTCTCCCGGTTTTAAAGCAAGCCTCCCGATTTTTAAAAAAAGTCTTAAAGCTCCCGACTTCATTGAAAACCTCCAGTAAAGTCCCTTTTTTGGCAAGCTTAATTACGAAATTTTCATTGATTATAATTATCAAGTTCCTTTAGAGACAACTTTATAAACTTCGTATTGTACAAAACGTTTTTACGTTTACCTTATTTCCGCCATGGTGCGGTACTCGAGCTATAGGACAGAACAAACCGGACATTTTCATAAAAAAAAGAATATGGTTCTATAATTAGTGAGATAATGTTCAGTTTATTGTATATCAATGACTTTTTGCCAAACTATCGCAAGCAACATAAATCAAATTTCGGGAATTAAAAACATTTTTTATTTTAAAGTCTATTTCAAACCATATTTAACCCATAGGTTTTATAACAAGTAAATAGCTATAATTATAAGCTATTTACTTGTTATAACAACTTTAGGCTTTATTTGATTCAATAACCGAAATTTGAGTTATGTTGCTTGCGATACTTTGGCAGAAAGTCATCGATATTGCATGAAGAAAAGAGAGAAATTTACTTTATCTTGTCAGGAATTTGACAAATTTATGGCCATGAATGGAAACGATATTATTAATAGTGGGAAGAAACCTTAAATACTCTTAAGCCCGCTGCACAACAGCCCGGTAACGGGAACGGGAACGGGAAACTAAACGGTAAAGGTGGGAGAGACTCAGCGAACCCTATCTATCAACAGTGGTTTTTTAGTCTCTCACACCTTTATTGTTAGGATTCCCGTTCCCGTTCCCGTTACCGGGCTATTGTGCAGCGGGCTTTAAAGTTATTTATGTATAACCTTTATTTCGATTATAAGTTGGAGTATCCCATGGTCAACCAAAATGTATGATGTCTGAATAAAATTTTCTTTTTCTAACCTCCCGGACAACAATCGGGATTTCCTGGTGAAGTCATGATGATATCACAACGTGATTTTTTTTATCACGCTGTGATATCCTGAGTACATAAACATGCTTCATCACAGTGATATCATGTAGAACTCACGGTGTGATATTTGCAAAATTTGCGCATGCGTATGAGCCCTGCGAACTGCGAATTTAAAACCTACCCGGACAACATTCGTGATATTCATACGAACATCACGTCGTGATTTTCACAAACTTTATTTATACTGATATTATACGGAATTCACCGCGTAATAAATGAAAATCATACAAACGTCACGTCGTGATTTTCACAAATTTTATTCATACGGACATCATCCGGATGTCACTGGGTGAGAAATGAAAATCATGTCGTGATTTTTTATGCCAACGGTGTTTGGATAATCATTTTTGCGCCACGTTCGTACAGTAAGAGAAAAATTATGTTGAATCAACAGTTTTTGCGGTTAAATACATTTAATATTTTCTTGGATTTAAATTATTCAACATAATTTTTCTCTTAGTGTACGAACGTGGCGCTAAAATGATTATCCAAACACCGTTGGCATAAAAAATCACGACATGATTTTTTGTGTCATCGGTCAATCGCAAACAGCGATGGCATAAAAAATCACGACATGACTTTCATTTCTCACGCAGTGACATCCGGATGATGTCCGTATGAACAAAATTTGTGAAAATCACGACGTGACGTTCGTATGATTTTCATTTAATACGCGGTGACTTATGGTGTAAAAAAATATACAAGGACAACTAATAAAATTATAAAATATTTTATAAATTGATAAAAACACGAAAAACACGAACATTTTCTTTGTTATTTTTTTTAAATGGTGGACAATGTTTTTTTAAAATAATAGAACTGAAGACACAAAAACTTGGACATTAAAAAACACAGAAAATAACCTAACTTACTGATCAAGGTCGCTTTCAGGTGAGCTTTCTAATTCTAACTCACTTGTATAAGTATTATTTTCAATACTTTTAAGATTCAGCGAATTTAAATATTCTTTAATAAACCTGTAATGATATCATGGAAAATCAAAAAGAGCACATCAATCCAGAAAATTACACTTTAACCTCGACTTTAACTTACTTTAATGATTCCGCTTTCGCATCATCTTCTTTGATACTATTGTTTTTGTCTTTGGCCACATCTTTCATTCCCTAAATAACAAAAAAATATATTAATAAGTATTTCTCTACTTCCAAGACTTTGTATCTGTGGTCAGAAAAAAAAATGTTATATGCATCAAATTAAGTGTCCTTCATGTCTCATCACATTTATAGAATGGAAATAAACTATTAAAAAAAGTTGTTGCTAAATAGAATTAAATGCTGAAAAATTACCTTTAAAATTTTTGCCTGATCCTGGTCAGCCTCCTCGTGATCCCTCCTACCTTTTCGTAGACGCATTTTCCTTGCAATCGGATCCTTACTTGCATCTAAAAATAAAATACAAATTATTATTATTAACACATTCAGATTCAAATATGTTTTAATTCACTTTGAGCAGGCGTTGGCGCGGGTACGTTGGCCCCCGCAAGCCTGAGTTGATTTTGCAATGAGAAGTCAATGTTGTAAAACTCGAGACCTGCCCCGCGAGTCATTTCGACAGGTTTGGGGGGCATCGTTAAGTCGGGATTGTTGCGCAAATCGAGCGAGTCCAGATCGGTGAGCAAATGGATTGCGTCTGGCAACGTGATAAGCTTGTTTGAGCTTAGGTTCAACCTTTTTAAGGAACCGCATCTGTGAAAAAAACATTATATTTTTGTATTACCTACTATTATTATTATTTTTACCTGCATAGTCCTTCTGGAATCATTTCTAGTTGGTTGTTGGATGCAGAGAATATTTCCAGACATCCCAACTTGCCTATTCCAGATGGTATACCTTCAAAATCCAACTTGTTGTCATTAACATATAATCTCCTTAAATTGGATAATTTACACAGGGATGCAGGCAGAGCAGTAATTTTATTGTGGGATAATTTTAGAGTTTCCAGTTTTTGACAATTTTCAATTGCTAAAAAATAATTATTATATTATTTACATAAATAATATGTTAAAATAAATTCTTACACATTGTAGCAGTGTGTTATCAACAATATTAAAAACAATACTAAGCAAATTTCATTTCATTTAATAATAACCATAAAAAAATATAAATATATGTATATTATTGCATGTTGCACATAATATTATGAATAAAAATAAAATAATTTAAATTAAGTAAAATTTTCTATTATAGATATACAGTTTTTTAATGGGCATGGAACTTTAAAATATGTATTTTACCATGCAGAAAAGTATTTTAAAAAATATGAAATTAATATTAACACATATTATATTATATACAGGGTGTTTCTTTTAACTTGAGACAGCTCAATATCTCGAGAAATACGCATTTCACGGAAAAATGTCTTAAATAAAAGGTTAACGTGACTAAAGGGGACATTATTTGGTGCTACCGCTAGCCACCCCCTACCCCTCCTTAAGGGTGAAACGGGGGGTAACTTTGGAAAGTCAAATGGAATGACCCGATTTTTTTCACAGAGTTTGGTAGTACATAAAAAAATAAATAACTTTTATTTAAAACTTTTTTCAATTTATCAACAGATGGCGCTGTAATTCAAAATTTAAGAAAAATGAGTTTCCTTGTAAAATGTATTATTTGAAACGTTTGAAAAACAAAAATTAACATTAACAACAATAGTCGGCTATGAAAACAATTTATAACAAATGTTAGAAATGTCATCATTCCATTTCAACACATTTTTGAATGCGGGTAATGAATTCTGGCACACAACGCGCCAACATATCGGGCGGTATCGCCGCACAGGCGTTCCTGATCCGCTCCACCATGTCCTCCCAAGTTGTAGGAATTGCAGCGTAAACTTTTTCTTTCAAGTAACCCCACTGGAAGAAGTCTGGTGGCGTAAGATCAGGTGATCGAGCAGGCCAAATTACTGGACCACGTCTACCGATCCACCGCGGTGCACCGGCCATTGAACTCCCGATCCAACACCTCTCAAGCAATTGTCGAATAATGTGCAGGACAACCATCTTGCTGGTACCACATGTTTTGGAGCTGTGCTAGTGGTACATCCTCCAAAAGGTCCGTCAGATTGTTTTCTAGAAAATTTCGGTACTTTTCGCCATTTAATGCACCGTCAATAAAGAAGGGTCCGATTAATCGTTCGCTTAAGGTACCGCACCAAACGTTTACCGACCAGGGACGCTGGTGCTCCACTTGGTGTCGAAATGGAAGGACGACATTTCGAACATTTGTTATAAATTGCTTTCAGAGCCGACTATTGTTGATTTAATGTTAATTTTTGTTTTTCAAACGTTTCAAATAATACATTTTACAAGGAAACCCCTTTTTCTTAAATTTTGAATTACAGCGCCATCTGTTGATAAATTGAAAAAAACTTTCAAATAAAAGTTATTCATTTTTTATGTACTACCAAACTCTGTGAAAAAAATCGGGTCATTCCATTTGACTTTCAAAAGTTACCCCCCGTTTCACCCTTAAGGAGGGGTAGGGGGTGGCTAGCGGTAGCACCAAATAATGTCCCCTTTGGTCACAATAACCTTTTATTTAAGACATTTTTCCGTGAAATGCGTATTTCTCGAGATATTGAGCTGTCTCAAGTTAAAAGAAACACCCTGTATAATTAATATAAACATATATATTTATTAAATTAAATAATTTTATTTTAGATTGACTTTTTTCAAATGGTTTCAAGAGAAGATAAATAACAATACCTGTGGATATTTCTGTAATCTCATTTTCACTTAAATTTAGTCTCTTTAAGTTTGGTAGTAAATACAGAGCTTCAGGAACTTTTGGTAATGCATTTTGAGCCAAATCAACATCAGACAAATTTACTAAATTTTCTAAATTGGTGGGAAAATTGTTTAGATTTCTTTGTGTATTCCTTAAATGCAACGTTTCCAAGTTTATTAAGGATGGCAGTTGTCTTAATTGAAAATGCCCCATGGGATTGTTGTTTAAAACTAAAGTTTGTAAATTGGCAAGACGTCTGGTTTGGGGTGGCAATGTTTCCAAGTTATTGTCGCTCAGGTCCAAGAACAATAAATCGGTTAGGTTGATGAACAAAGTGTTGGGAATGGCATCAATACTAAAAAATTTATATATACAGGGTGAGTCATAAGTGGTGAACTTCCCGAAAGGTGCATGTAGGGGGGCCTTAATATAGGTAGGGAAAAATGTTAAAAAAATTCCAAATGAAAAAGTGACCGAGGAATTCAGGTCTTAAGTTTTAAATTTAACTTTTTTATTATTTAATATTTTTCCACCTTATATGATTTTTACTGAAGAGTTTAGGGTTCTTAAATATTTCCTAGCAAAAAAATTGCCCGAAAAAGTGTATTTTCTTTTAATTTTAATGTTTTAGAATTATTTTTTAACAATTGAAATGATCTGGCAACTTTGTAATCAACAATACGAAAATTGACATTGACGTTTAAATTTTTTGGTGTTTTCTGGTTATTATTTTGTCGAGTCTATTTGTAATCAACAATGCGAAAATTAAGTTTGACGTTTATATTTTATTTTTTTGGTTATTATTTTGTGGAGTCTATTTAATAAAATGTACACCAATCAAGAATGTGTGAATATGATGCTGGTACTTGGATTCTGTGAAGAAAATTGCAATGAAGCAGCCCGGGTATACGCAGCAAGATTCGCTGACATAACCCACCCATCGCCGGGAGTTTTTAGATGGATGATGGTCAGAGCTAGAGAGACTGAATCTCTAATTCCCACGGCAGGTCCTGACCTTGGTCGGCCTCTAGAGATTGTACCCGAAGCCGATGAGTTAATCATCCAGCTGATTCAAGAAGATCCAACAAGAAGTACCAGAGGGATTGCTCAGGAGCTAGGCATGTCCTAGACATCTATAACCAGGCGATTAAAGAAGGAGAAGTTCCATCCATACCACTACACTAAAGTTCAGGCTCTTAACAACAACGATTTCGGTTTGCGTTTAAATTTTTGTATTTTGGTTATTGGGAAAAATTATTGAGGATGATGATTTTTTAACTCGTATTTTATGGCAAATTTTAGTAGGGATGGGTATTTTAATAGTAGAAACTGCCATTATTATAACCAAGAAAATCCACATAGAAAATGGGAATTTAATCATCAAAATCGCTTCAGTGTAAATGTTTGGGTTGGGATAATTAAAAATTGGGTTATTGGGTCTATCATATTACCGCGGCGGTTGAATAGGGATCAATTTTTAAATTTTTTGGAGAACGAAATTTCTAATGAAATTAACAATTTACCCTTGGCCACATTGCGCAACATGTGGATACAACTGGATGGTGCCCCACCTCATTTTGCCGCTCCTGTTAGAAATTGGCTAAATGAACAGTAACCTAACAGGTGGATAGGTCGTAACGGCCCAGTTTCTTGGCCTCCTAGGTCGCCAGATTTGACCCCGCTTGACTTCTTATGGAGTCATGTTAAAGCATTGGTGTACCAAACATCGGTACATAATGAGGAGGAACTAATACTGCGTATTCGAAATGCTTTAACAACTGTGACCCCAGAAATGTTGACCCATGTACAAGTTAGTACAAGAAGAAGACTGGAATTGTGTTTGGAAAATCAGGGGCATCAATTTGAGCAATTTTAGTAATGTTTGTTCATGCTTCTTTATGTTATTTTTTTCATAAATTTTTATTTTGTTTGATTTTGGTTTTAATAATTATTATTTAAGTATTATAATCACAACAACTGTCTCATTGCTGTCTTTTATTATGACAGTAATGACAACAATATAAGCACGTAACAATTCAAATAAGTTCCTTAGTTACTTCAATTAAAATGAAATCTAATAATTTCCTGTAACATTGTTAGTGTTTACACGTTGCCAATATTCTCTTTTGAGTTCTTGACCATAACTCGAGTACCAAAGCAGATAGATTTTTTTAAACATTTTTCCCTACATATATTAAGGCCCCCCTACATGCACCTTTCGGGAAGTTCACCACTTATGACTCACCCTGTATATTTAAATATATATATATTTAAATTTTAAAGTTGGATATATTGGATATATCATGTACAACTTTAAAATTTAAATACAAATAATTAAGGAATATTTATCTGTCAGTTTAAGGCTAATTTCGTTTTATTTTGTGTTCTAAATTAATCTTGTTAGGCACAAAAGACACATTTATTCTATTATTTTAAAACTTAAACTGAGATATACTTATAACCTTAATTATTTGTATTTAAATGTCAAAGTGGGACTTCGGTCATCTATGACATACATAGTGCTAGGGATACAACTATATCATATGATAAGTACCATAATTTATGTAGATATAGGGCCGTATGCAGAAACGTTGATTTATTTATATCAATTGATTTACACATATCCACTGATTTAAGTTTGAACCAATTTGGCAACATTGCAAATTTTAAATGACAGCAGATTTGTATCCTTTTTCTATGGATTTGTAGGTTATCTTACATATACTTAAATATGTGTTTATTACATTATAAGAGTGATACATTTTTAAAATGCATTATTAAATATACACATAAATACATTTATAACTGACTTAACCTTATTATTGACAAAAAATCGGTTTTATATAGGATTGGGCAATATGAAACACAACAATTGGGTTATGTTTGCAATGTGTTTTGAAACAAGTACCTAAATTTGCATTAGAAGGTATGAGAAACGAAAATTACGACTTAAAGCCTCTGAAAAGAACAAAGAAATTTTGTCGATGTTGGTGAAAATTTTGTTCAAGTGTTTGTTTTTGTAAGAGATTAATTAATTATATTATAAGTATAATAATTATATTATAATTATATTATAGTTATAGGAATACTATACCTGTTTCTAAAAGGCAATGCTCTTTTACCTATTCTTTTACAGGTACCAATAACACCTTTTTAAACATTTAGGCATATGTTTTGAAAAATAAATGCAATGCTGCCGAAGACATCGAGAGGAAAAAAAGACATTTTAAATTTGTGACAAGAATATAATAAAATTAAGAAACAAACTCAAGAGGATAACATATGTTAGTTAATGCTTGATATACATAAATTATGGCATCAGAATAAACTTTTTTAATCAAAAGGAGGGAGCTAAAGTCAAAAATTGCATGTCCAGAAAAATTATGCTAGAAAATGGTTGGGATGTAGAGCCTTGAAACTTTTTGTAGTATGCATATACAAAGTTTACCCTTGCCTGCAGCCCCCTGAACAAAATCCTGGCTACATCCTTGCTGGAAATGGGGCAAGAATCCCTGCTTTTCTAAAAGGATAAATTAAACCCAATGAAAAAAACTCGGCATGCCTGATACACTTTGTTTTTTAAATAATTTATATTTAAAAATATATGTACACAAATTTTAAAAACTGAGACTTTTATAAAGCGAATTTTTAAATTTAATTGTTGCAGTTCTAATCCAGACTTTTTTACCCTGTGTAGGTATTTTATTTCAAAAATAAAAATATTGTTTCAGAGCATATTTTTAATTATTTGTCAAATAAATATTACAAATAATAAAAACACTTTGAACCAAAAATATTAAAACATAGTTTCATACACTGCCTGTTTTTGCTTTCTAGCCAAAACATTTTCTTTTACCTACAGGGTGTATTTTTTATTTTCCTATAAAATGCCTTTTAAATTTGTATTATTGGCAAAACATGTTAATAATATTATAATATGTAGGTATGTATATTTAATTTGAAATAACCATGTTGCCCTTTTTCATTTTTAATAGTATATTTCATTTTTAATAGTATATTTATGTATGTATATTTAATTTGAAATAACCATGTTGCCCTTTTGTCCCTCCATTTCATTTTTAATAGTATATTTCTGGGCCCAAAAATAAATAGAGTGTAAATTAACTCTCAGAAAAAAAACCCTACTGTTTCTATTTCTAAGAGCAAGCACATAATTTAAAAATATAAAAGCAGAAAATAAGTTGAACATGGTCTAAAATTTAAAATATTTTTTGAACACAATTTTTGTTTTATTTTATAATCTTTATTATTTATTAAATCGTATGTAGTTTAATTATCTATAACATACCTATAGGTATTATATTAAAAAGTAATCTTTATTATTTATTAATGCGTATGTAGTTTAATTGTCTATAACATAGGTATTATATTAAAAAGTAATCATTTATGTTTTTTAATTTAAAAAAATAAATATTTTCACTTAAGTTCAATGTAAGGGCCCCTTAATAAGGGGTAATTAAAATGAAACTAAAGAAAGTTATAAATCAATTAATTTCAAGTATTCTGCTTTTCAATCAGACAAAATAATAGCAAAGAGTTTGATATAATTAACATGGTAGTAATTTTATCTTTAAAAAAATGTTATTTTTTAATTATATATTTGTTATAGGTATGTTTACCTTCTGAATTTATTTTTTCATATACTATATTTACAAGCAAAAATACTGTCTATTTTCATTCATATTTTAAATCAGTCGTTAACGACTGATATAAATTATATCAACCGATTTTCATTTAAGATGATTTTATTGGCCAAAAAACAAATCTAGTAAACCATGACTTATATTAGCGAAATTATTTTCTATGGTTAAAAGCAAATGTCACAAATGTCAAATAAATCTTGATGATATTTTAATTGTTTTATGTCTAATTTAAAATGTCAATGTATAGAAATCGACTTTTTTATGGAAAATATAAACGTTGAAAGATAATTACCCAATTTATTTTATAAAACAACAGTTTTTAAAGAAAAATACTGCGTTGCCATGTTGTGCAAAAACCTATATCCACTGATATGCTAAATCAGCTGATATAAATAAATCAACGTTTCTGCATACGGCCCATAGGTACCTAACAAAAAATAAAATATGTACTTACTGATTTTTGCTTAAATTCAGGACTAAAAGTGATTTGGCCCTGTCCAAACCTTCAGGAACTTCCTTTAAATTATTATGGCTTAAATCTAAGGTGCTTAGTTCTTCCAAATGAAACAATTGGGCTGGCACCCCAGAACTTTTTACTTTATTGTGCCTTAAATTCAATGTTCTTAAGCAATTCAGTTCAGTCAGTTCTCCATAAAGTTTCTCTAAATTATTTCTTGTAAGAGATAAGTGTTCAAGTTTTAATAAATTTCCCATTTCCTTGGGTATTTCTTTTAAATTTGTTCGATCTAGCTTTAGCCATTGCACACCTGTCATAGAACTTACAGCTTCCGGAAACTTCTTGCCCTATAAATAAAATATTTATAATGCAAAACAATAAAAAATACTGTAATATTTTTATTTACTTACACTAAAATCATTTCTGGTAAAATCTACCCCTCTTACAAAGGGTAAAACTCCTGTATTTGCCATTTTAGGTTAAATATTTTATTTACATGCTTTTACAACAAATTAATATATAAATTATAACGTTTTTAACACAGTTTTTAAAATAAATAAAATAGATAACGCATTCTTTGCGTATTACATCAACAAGAAATCATATTTTTTGACAGTTGATAATTTTTCACGGTTATGACAGTTGGATTAGAATACAGATTTCTGTATTAAGTACAGATATCTTTTTTTAATTACTATAAAATTAAATGGATGGCAAAACATATTGTAATTTGATTTTTTTGTTTTTTTTATGAAAATGTATATTCTGTATTTACACCAGGGTCGATAATTTTTGAAACCAAAAAAAATAACAGTAGGATGAAACCCATTGGAAAAGGAAAAGAATATAATAAAAATTAAAGGAAAAATAAATTACGGGCGATCTGACTTCGGGAAGTGGGAGGGGGGGTTTTAAGGGTAAAAAATGGTTTATCTCGATTTCCGGCAAAACTACAAGTCCTATGGAAAAAAGTTAAATGGCAAAGTTGTAGGTAATAAAAGGATCTACAACTTTTGTAATTACAATTTTTTTACATAACCTCAAAATTTATGTGAAAAATTCAAAAAACCAAGTTTTTGGTTTTTTATTTTTATCTTTTAAAAAAAAAAATTTTTTCCACGAAATTTGGTGAAAACTTACCTTTTTATGTCTCAAATACACTGTAATTTATTTGATTTGAAATATTTATTATTTCGCCTTATTTTGACTTAATATCAAAAAAACACCCTAATTTTCAATCGAAAATTCTCGCGTCAAAATATCAGCTTTTTCAAAAAGTCGGTGTGCTTTTTGTTCGTTGAAATCTCTACTTTCTGATGGTGTAAAAAAAATATACATTACTATGGTAAATGTTCTCAGAAAATGCAAAAAATATTATTGCTTCTGCACTGGTCTAATTATACAGTATAGTAGTATAATATCCATATCTGTGATCCATATTATATTATATTTGTTCAATTACAGAAATATTCGAATTATAAATTATATTTGCCATATACATATAACTATAGTTATATGTATATGATATTTGCGTACGATACGCATATATAATGTATATCTAACTCGAGTTTTTCTTAAAATTTTGCCAAACTGATAGTAGGTATAATGAACTGGTGTCATAATTTACATTTTCTCGCACTCGTTCATTACAAACCGAGCGACGAAGGAGAATTGTCAAGTTGTATAATTTGTGGTCATGGTGCCAAATGACGTCTTATGACATAACGTGGCAAATTGTATAATATATAGTTTAATTATGAACAAGCGGAGGGAGTATTTAATAAACGAGCGATTTTGAGTTCATAAAACGAATTGCTTACCATACTTTATCCACAACGAACGCAAAGTTATTTTTTTAGAGTTTAGTCAATTTTATTTGACCTTTTATCTGACATCTGTAAAGCGGTTTTAACCTCACTTTTTATCAATTAGTCAAGCAGTTTTAACCTCACTTTTCCGAATTTAAAGTACTAGTAGGAGTAGATAGCTTTTAATAAGACCAATGTGACGAGGCTCTACAGTGCACGCTGAGAAACGCTGTTTAAGATTTATTTTTTAAAACAAAAACCTGTAGTTTTAACTAATTTTATTCTAAACAATTCAACATAAAATCAGCATGAAAAATGCATAAATTATATACAAGTGATTGTAATTTGGTAATAGTTACATTTAATTTTACAATCAATGTATTTTGGTAGGTATTTCAGTGAAAAATGTAGTCTATCTATTAGTATTACCCCACTTTTCGGTTTACCGTTGGGGTGTTGGCATAATGGGGGGAGGGACCCCTCCTGAAATAGCTGAATTGGGTCCTAATAACATCTGAAAATACAAAAATTATATAAATAAATTTAAAAAAGGTACATGTAAAATAAGTGGGCAATTATTGAAAAATATTACATTATTTAATGTAAGAGTCTATACTAAACCACCAGCAGTATAATAATCAATTGGTATTAAACCACCGCGGCGAAAACAAGTATAAGTAATAAATATGTGTATTTATTAATAATAGAACATTCTTTTGTGCCACATTTTATTATTTCAAAATGTAAATTAGTAAAAAATTTTAAAAAGTGGAGGCGCAGGGTATCAATCCCAAACGTCTTGCATTCTAAGCTCTGTTTCCTGAGCCACGCAGCCTATTGGTGAATATAAACATTCTAGGAATTTTAATTAGGTACTCATAATTTAATAATGAGGTTTTATAAGTAGCTTAGACCATCCCACCAAGCCAATCTAAGCTACTTATAAAACCTTATTTTTAAATTTTGTGTAATAAAAAATGCTCAAGCATTAAACTACAATATCTGTCATTTATTCCACTGTAATTAATAGCAATTTAATAATATACCTCTGGCAGTTAAGTAGACTTTCTCATTTAATTGTGATTTTATAAACCTTGCAATAGTATTTTACCTGTTTTTGTTGTGAGCGTTGCATTTCTTCCATTTGTGCCCTCTCTACTTCAAATATCACAGGTGCAAATAAGATTATTGATGAGCTGAATACAACCCAAAATGCATTCCTCGAAAAGTTATATGCTGATTTAACTCCACACTTTGTTTGAAACGCTACTGTGGAAGTAAGATTTCTGACGGAATCGGGAAACATTTCCGTCAAGCCCCATAATCGTTCGACTAAAGTTTCGTCCGGCTAAAATGAGAAAATGTGGCGATAAGATTGAGGTTATGAAGCGTAGATTATGTGTGGTGTTATTGGGGTTATTTTGTTACCTCGTCCTCTTCTGAATCTTCAATTTCTCGCCTGCTGGGTTTTGTGGGTTCGCTTTCCTTGCTTGTGATAGTGTCTTCTTGTTCCTCCTCCAATGCTTGTGACCCTTCTTGTGATTCCATACCGCTGTCCTGGTCTTCTACAGGTGCCATAAGATAAACTGATTACTCTATTAAATTACTAATAGTTTGTTTGTCGCGTTTTTTATTCAATATTACATTTATCGTTCGCGAATTAAGAGAAATTCAGTGGCGAACCGATAAAGGGTTTCTTTTTAGGACATTGCGCAAGCGCCATAGACCGCGCCAAGTTTAAATATAAATTGATAAATACCTACCATTGTTTTTTCTGAAAACAATGTAAATACTTACGTAAAAATGGTTTTAATGATCTTTGATTATATGAATCTGTTTCGTGACACTTTAAACATAAAAAATACTATTGTAATTTTATTGTTGAAGTTGACAGATTTGACAGCTTGCGTCAGTGACTTGACAGTTCATAATTGTATTATACCAGTGGCGTAGCAAAAAATTATAATTATTATTATTAATAATAATAATAATAATAATAATAATAATTTACTGTATAAAATTGTTATTGCTAGTGGTTTCTTTTAAAAAGGGTTAGGTTAATAATTAAAAAAGAACACAGTCCATGCAGTGGGTGGGTATAATTTATTTAATAATTTACTAAATTCACGAATAGTAACAAAATATCAACAGATTATGTACACCATGTTTACATAGATAATGAACAATATGCTCAATAAAAATATGTCATTATATTCTTGCAGTGGCATGCTTTATGAAGAACATAAGGGGTTCCTAGGGAAATACATTTATTTAAGAAACATTTAATTATTTAGAATCTTGTTTTAATTTCATAAAAAATAGTATTTTTCCTTTACTTGGGGCTGTCCCACCATATCAAAGTGTCTGATGAATAGCCCTTACTTAGGATACCGCTGTATTTAATAATAATTTAAGTATTTTAAGGATTACAAGTACATCCCGTTGACTAAATAATCAGCGTCGTGAGCATATGATTTACCCCCTCTCCTCATTCTACGTCTTACCACCTTAAGACGGCAACCAATCAGAATTGCGAGAAGGCAAGTCACAATCAGCCCTAAAAAACATTTAAATTATTTTTTTTATATAATAATGTGTTTCTTAATTTTCTCACCCATCGTCAATGAGAGTACAGCACCCCGTGGTACAGCCGCGGCCCCATCCTGGAGATCCATGGAATCAGCTATTTTGTAGGATATTACGTCGGGGAATTTTTCGTGCACGTGTTTGGTGGTTACGTGTTTCTCGATTTTTATTTTTTTCTCGGTCACGGTTGTGCCGTCGTGCTCCATGTTGTCTTTTGAATGTTTTAAGTCGTGGGCCATTTGGTCCTGGACATGCTTAGGGTTAACTGAAAAGTAAATTTAAACGTTTGTTTATTGGATGGGACTACGTCGCCACCGCTTTGTCGTAGCTTGCAACTATAAAACAGCGGAGGCGTCTTGTTCGGATGTGCTTGCCCACATAGATACCCGGCACTGAAGGGGCCCAAAAGACCGAAACTGGTTGTCTGTCAGTGCCTGCAGCAAAGCACATTCGTAAAAAGAGCACAGAGACGAGGTGATTGGCCAGTTTAGACACTGTTTGTCCAAATTATTATATGGAATTTTAAAATAATTTTAATAGAATTTTTAACTTTTAAAAATGTTACCTTATCTTGAGCAATAAATCACATTTTAACCAAACAATTTAAATTAAATTCCTAATTTTCAATTATAATGAAAAATTACCCAGTAAGCACCAAACACTCGGCAAGCAGTCGGCCTTCGCTCGGCATAGGCGGCTGACCGGCGGTTCGGCTTGCCCCAGCCGGCCCGCTTACGGCCCGCGTTATGTTACCCCGGTACCGTTTAGCCATGTTCTAACCGAAGTCGGTCAGAATAAGGCATGCCGCTGCAAAATCCTTCGGTTTGCCCTAGCCGGCTCGCTTACGGCTGGAATATGGCCTGCCGGGGCAAAAGCGATACATCTCACGGCTGCTTACGCACGCAAGCTAACTATAAATAGCGATTGGTTGCAATATTTAGTTGGAATTCCAAAGTGTGCGTCCGTAATTTGGAGTCCCCATCTCCATTCTCATCTGCTTAGTAACGAATAATGTCTAGCTACTCGGGTGTGTTAAAGAAGTATCTTCCCTGCTGAAAAAGACAGGTAATATCGGATGACTGCGGATAAAAAACCAAGCTAGTTTTATGTCCATTTATATCTGTTTTCATCCGACATATCTGATTTTACCCGGCATGTCGGTTTTTATCTGCAATTGCGGGTATAAATATTATCCGCGAACGTCGGGTTTTATCTATTTAGTTCTATGTCTGCTTTCATCTGGTTTCATCCTCAAATACCTGTATTTGGGTTTATATCTGTATTCACCCGGTTTTATCTGATTTTATCCGCAAACATCTACTTTAATCTGCAAACGTCTGCTTTATCCGATTTCACCTGCAAACATCTGCTTTTATAGGTGAAGATCTACTTTCATCCGCGAACATCTATTTTAATCCACAAACATCTGATTTCATCCGCAAACATCTACTTTAGTCTGCAAAAGTCTGCTTCATCCGATTTCACCTGCAAACATCTGCCTATATCCACAAAGATCTGCTTTTATCTTTGAACATCTGCTTTAATCCACAAACATCTGTTTTAATCCGCAAACATATAATTTAGTCCGCAAAACTCTGATTCATCGGATTTCACCTGCAAACATCTGCTTTTATCCGCGAAGATCTGCTTTAATCTGTAAAAGGTCTACTTTAATCCGCAAACTTCTGCTTTTATCCGCAAACATTTGCATTTATCTGCGAACGCCTCCTTTAATCCGCAAACATCTGTTTTAATCCGCAAACATCTGATTTTATCCGCAAACATCTGTTTTAATCTCCAAACATCTGCTTTTATCCGCAAACATCTATTTTATTCTGCAAACATCTGCTTTTATCCGCAAACCTCTGATGTTATCCGCAAACATATGCTTTTATCCGCAAACATCTGATTTTATTCGCAAAAATCTGCTTTTTTCGGCAAACATCTGATTCTATCCGCAAACATCTGCTTTTATCCGCAAACATCTGTTTTAATCTCCAAACATCTGCTTTTATCCGCAAACATCTATTTTATTCTGCAAACATCTGCTTTTATCCGCAAACATCTGATGTTATCCGCAAACATATGCTTTTATCCGCAATCATCTGATTTTATTCGCAAAAATCTGCTTTTATCGGCAAACACCTGCTTTTATACGCAAACATCTGCTTTTATCCGCAAACATCTGCTTTTATCCGCAAACATCTGATTTTATACGCAAACATCTGCTTTTATCCGCAAACATGCTTTTATCTGCAAACATCTGATTTTATCCGCAAATATCTGCTTTTATCCGCGAACATCTGCAAACATCTACTTTTAATTGCAAACCTCTGCTTTCATCCGCGTTCGGTTTGCTTGCATTTCCTTTGTCCATTTCGGCCCTGTTTCGTACGCAAACGTCTGGTTTCATTCGCGCTTTTTGTTTTCCTTTTTGTCGTGTATACTTTACTTTAGTTTAAAATACCTGCTTTGTCAAATTTTACTGAGCTTTAACTAACTGGTTGTTAGCCGTTCACGGCACACAACTTTATAACTCTCAAAGGAATTATTTGGATAAAAACAAAATGTAAAGGAAATAAGTTTATTCAACACGACATTTTCCCAATGGGAAAATAATTTAATTATATTTACCAGATTTAAATTTTAAAAGGTATACTATAGTAAAGAGTACCAAAGAAATAAGTCTATTAATTCTTACAAATATATTAAAAATATTGGTTATGCCAAAAACTAATATTGAAGTTCAATAAACTTATTTCCTTTACAGGTTGTTTTTATTCAAATAATTCCTTTTAGAGTTATAAAGTTGTGTGCCGTGAACGGCTAACAACCAGTTAGTTAAAGCTCAGTAAAATTTGACAAAACAGGTAAACTAAACTAAAATATACACGAGAAAAGGAAAACAAAAAGCGCGAATGAAACCAGACGATTGCGTACGAAACAGGACCGAAATGGACAAAGGAAAAACAAGCAAACCGAACGCGGATGAAAGCAGAGGTTTGAAATTAAAAGCAGATGTTTGCAGATGTTCGCGGATAAAAGCAGATATTTGCGGATAAATGCAGATGTTTGCGGATAAAAGCAGTTGTTTGCGTATAAAATCAGATGTTTGCGGATAAAAGCAGATGTTCGCGGATGAAAGCAGATGTTTGCGGATGATTGCAGATGTTCGCGGAAAAAATGAGATGTTAGCGGATGAAAGCAGATGTTCGCGGGTGATTGCAGATGTTCGCGGATAAAAGCAGATGTTCGCAGATAAAATGAGATTTGTGCGGATAAAAGCAGATGTTTGCGGGGGTGCACTAAACGGATGAAATCAGGCGTTCGCAGATAAAAGCCTGTTTGCGGGTGAAACCGTATGAAAGCAGATGTTTGCGGATAAAACCAGACGTTTGAGGATGAAAGCAGATGTTCGCGGGTGATTGCAGATGTTCGCGGATAAAAGCAGTTGTTCGCGGGTAACTGCAGATGTTCGCTTATGAAATCAGATGTTCGCGGATAAAAGCGGATGTTGGCGGATAAAATCAGATGTTCGCGGATGAAAGCAGATGTTCGCGGATGATTGCAGATGTTCGCGGATAAAAGCAGATGTTTGCGGGTGAATGCGGGGGTGCACTAATTGGATGATATCAGGCGTTCGCAGATAAAAGCATGTTTGCGGGTGAAACCGTATAAAAGCAGACGTTCGCAAGTAAAAGCAGATCTTCGCGGGTGATTGCAGATGTTCGCGGATAAAAGCAGTTGTTCGCGGGTGATTGCAGATCTTTGCGGATGAAAGCAGATGATCGCGGATAAAAGCAGATGTTGGCGGATAAAAGCATATGTTGGCGGGTGAAATTGGACTAGGCAGACGTTTGCGGGTAAAAGCATATGCTCGCGGATAAAACCAGACGTTTTCAGATAAAACCAGACAAGAATAGAAAAAAAATGCAGGTAATCGCGGATAAAACCTGACGTAAGCACACGTTTGCAGATGATTCCGGACAAATTCAGATATAAACGACACACAGTGAAGACGGTTAAAAACAGATGATTGCAGATAATTGGTGCACTAACCGGACATAAAACACAACCAACCGGGTGTTCGCGGATATAGCGATGCGGACAAAAGCAGATGTTATCAGATGATATTTTTACCCGCTTTTATCTGCTTTTATCCGGCTTCGACGAAGAATTTATACCCGCAATCATATGCTTTTATCCGGTTTTGACGAAGAATTTATATCCGCAATCATCCGTCATTTTCAGCAGGGTTGCCATTCATTATAGGATATACCTCTCCAGGACGTCTGTAGGCTTTTTTAAATGGTCAGGCGGTTTTGGCAGCCACTCGGCCAACTATACACAGCCGACACTCGGCCGAGTAAACATAGCCGACATTCGGCCAGGCGGATATGCCCGACAGTTGGCCAGGCTGACATGCCCGTTCTACACGCCGGAAAAAATACTTGTGTCGGGCCGTACGCGGCCGATTCGGCAAAACGTATTCGGGCCGTATGCGGGCCGGCTAGCTTGAGCTTACTGGGTAACCCATGGGGTAACCTTACAACAGGAAACCTTCAATATATACAGTATGGCTCATTTAAGATGGAAACAGCCCCGTAACTTTTTTATTTGTTACTCGATTTTAATGTGCAAAGGCTCAAAATATAGAGAATAAAAAACTCCTACAAACCTAATTTCATCAAAAATGTATTATTAATAACTATTTCAGACAAGTTTATTTTAGCACGTTATAAAAATAATTGATACAAAACAAAAAACTATAAGATAGCCATGCTGAAACTTTATGTTTATAACGTGGTAAAATAAACTTGTCTGGAATAGTTATTAATAATAAATTAAGTTTGTACCCATTCTGAAGTATGTATGCCGCGTTTAGTGGGGTACTTATTTTTCTCCTAAACCTCCTAATTTTATTTATTTTTCTTTATTAATATTAAAAAAAAACTTGTCTAAAATAGTTCGATTTTAATGATATTAGGTTTGTACCCATTTTGAATCATGCCGCATTCATGGGCGTACTTATTTTTTTCGAAAAAAACGACCCTAATAATTTTTTCCGAATTTTGACATTGAAAAAATGCTATAGTAGGCATCTGTCAAGTGACATTGAACAAATTTTTTATAGCTTAGATATAGTTTTTTATTCTCTATATTTTGGGCCTTTGCTCATTAAAATCGAGTAACAAATAAAAAAGTTACGGGGCTGTTTCCATCTTAAATGGGCCACACTGTATATATTGAAGGTTTCCTGTTGTAAGGTTAATTTTTCATTATAATTGAAAATTAGAGTTTTTTATTCTCTATCTTTTGAGCTTTTGTTTATTAAAATCGAGTAACAAATAAAAAAGTTTCGGGGGTGTTTCCATCTTATGCGTATACGCAACTCATTTAAAAATATTACCTTTTTCTTTTTTATTTGCATCCAGTCCATTAACTGACGAATAATAAACATTTGATGGCTGTTTTTGGATTAAATTATTATCTAAAAAAAAATATTTGTATAACTTTTTTATAACATTTATAATAACTAATTACCCTGTATATTATTTACTGGTTGATATTGTTGGGCATTATTGTAGGGCACAATAACAGGCCAATTATCTTGTTGAATAGGATTCCTGTAGTTCTCGCTTTCGTAATAATTTTGAGTTTTTTGTCCATAATTAGGCCTCAATTGCTCGTTATCGCCGGGAATGTACTGTTGTTGTCTTTGACTGAAAAATAAAAATTATTTACATACATGGAAAAATATAAAAATCATGCATACTAATAACCATTTATTTTATTGGAACTATAAAGATTTTTATTTGTTTTCTGTTACCCATGGGTGATTAAAATCGGTATTAAATTTTTTAAGGAAATAACGCACAACCAAAAATTTTCAAAGCGATTTTTACTAAAAACTGTTGTGTAAAATTAAATGAAAACTCATAAAATGAAAAAAAAAAACAAAATGTGGGGTATAAAAAAATTACTATACTTATTGGTATATACAAGATGAATTAATTTTTGTATAAATTTTTGCGCTAGATGAAAAGTCGACCATATTACTAATTTACTGTAATAACAAAGTGTATGATACTCACGCCTAATTACAATTTTACTTTACCGCGCTTTAATTTAATATCATAAACAATAGGAACCCGGCATTTCTTAACTTAAAAAAATATTACATTGTCTTTTATCGAGTGTGTGAAAATTCCGTCCACGGCTAGCATCGACTATTGTGTTTACCCCTGCGACAAACAATCGAAGGTAATCGTTGTGTGAACTTTTGACTTTCGTTTTAAATAAGCAATTATGAATTTTCTACATCCAGATCGATTATGAATATGTGAGAAGAAAAAGTGAGCGTTTCACACTTGTGCCATTGACTTTACACAACCAGTTATGTAATCGATTAACATATAATTTTTTATCTTCAATTGTTTATAATTATGTAACCATATGTACAGCATGCAAAAGCAAAGAGGTTTGATACTTGAAAGAGATAAAGATTTAACATCGTCTTTATTTATAAAGACTTTGCCAATCAGAAAAATCAAACTACAAGTATTTTTAAGCAAGTTTAATTTCTCCACTTCTCACCCTTGGCCGTAAAACTTGCCGTAGGGGGCCACCGCCGGCCCCTTACCGTATCCAGGGTCTAGAAGGGCGGTACGATGCAAGTAGTGCATCGCCCCGCTAAATTTGTTATACCTTGCTCCATCGGATGTGTCCATCACGCGACCTCCAACAGGATCGTTAACCTGGATACCGCTTTCCTTGTGGTTGAAGATGCTGCCAGCCTGGACTGCCTGAAGACGCGATGGACCTTTTGGATCCACCACATTTTGATCTAGAAAGTTATTATTAGGTATTTCATATTTATTTTTATTAATTACATCATGATGTTTATATTCAATCCAAGCCGTCCCAAATCTCATCGCTGGCATTCAATAAATCAATTACCAAGTAAGTCAGTGGCGGCTGGTGGATTTTATGTATACCAATATCTCAGTTATTATACATGGTCCCGGGACCCACACCAAATTTACAATAGTTTATAATGACATTAAATAAACAAGTTCTGTGCAAACAGAATTTAAATTGAAGTTTGCGAAAAAAAGTTAGTTTTTCCTGTCGCCTCACCCGCCTTCAGGCCCCCCTATTTGAGATAATTTAAATTAAAGTGGTGCAATTTATTATCTACTATAATTTATCGACAAATTTAAAATTTTATTGAAAAAATCCAAATATTACAGGTTTTATACCATTTTAAATATTTTTTTATTTTAATAAAATAAATAATAAAAATTTAAAATCGAATAAAATCTGTAATATTTGGATTTCTTAAATAAAATTTTAAATTTTTCGATAAATTATGGTGGATAATAAATTGCACCACTTTAATTTGAATTATCTTAAAAAGGGGGCCTGGAGGCGGGTGAGGCGACAAGAAAAACTATAGTTATAACTTTTTTTCGCAAACTTCAATTTAAATTATGTTTGCGCAGAACTTGTCTATTTAATGTCATTATAAACTATTATAAATTTGGTGTGGGTCCCATGTCTAATAACTGAGATATTGGTATACCCAAAACCCACCAGCCGACACTGAAGTAAGCAACAAAATCCATAAACTTAAATTGTCGCAAATGAAACCACGAAGGGGGGAGACAGGGTGACAGTCGCTCTTAAGCCCTAAATATGGTACAGTACCAGACGCGGTGGACATTCGCACCCAGCAAACACGGGTGAAGCCGTGCAGTTGGTGATGGCGGAAAAAAATTGGCGTACGGTAACGAAAGCTTGTGCGAGGCTCGAGAGATGAGGCAATGGGGCCAGTTATACGACTCTTATGCTCATACTTATACTTATGATGTTTATATTCATTTGTGTTTATGCTTAACTCATTAAGTAGGTAGTCGTGTACCTATACGTATCAGAATGTCAACGAGATCTGCACCAACTAACTGGGTTCTCGGGCAGCGAATTTCAAGCAGCACGACTTCCTCGTGGATGAGATTGTCTCCGAGTAGTTTAATTTCACCATTTAGGAGAGGGCAAGACGTTGCCAGTGAGTATCAAACCCAAGTAACATTTTTAGTTTTACTATGCATGGGCCAAGGGCGCTTGCAAATAAATAAATTTCTTATTAAAACGCTTTAATCGTATAAACCTCAAGAGATCTTTGCAGCATTTATCGTCGTATACGACACTTATAGAACTAATAGTTTTAATTATGGCTGTTAAACGGAAACAAATAAGAGCTCCTTAAACGTAAAGTAGTTTAAAAACTATTCGTACAATATATTGCCCTACAAGAACGCTTTAAAATAAAATCTATCATAAAACAATAATAACTACTTTTAAAAGCATCATAAGATAATTTAGTCTTAGGTATTAGGATTTAACTAAAGTCCAAATAAAGTTATTTTTAGGAGTAAATACTCTTGAAAGCCAAATGGTTTTAATGTTAAGCCTTTAGGTTAGATGTAAAACTTTTTTTTAACCATCTTTCACCAAAGTATAATTGGCATTTATGAAAACCTTTTTAAAACAATTTGCATTATTTCTGTCATAATAAAACCTTTTAAAAACCAATTCAAGTCAATTTTGCATTTAAAATATTTAGCTTCTAACAAGCACCGTACTCGTCAAAGCGAAAATAATAGTGCACTGTTCAAAATTTTAGCTTATTTTTACCTAAAATATTAGACTATATAGGACCATTGATTTTTTAAGGCAAACTGCTTAAAATGAATTCAGAGGAATATTCCCCTTTTAAATTAGTGAATTCTTTAACTGATATTTTTAAAGAAAATGATACAATTAATTAAGCAACATTACTTAGCCCAGATAACATTCGTGAATGCACATTAAACTCACACCGGGCGCACGCCGTGAATCTTCAAAATTGAATGCATCGTGAATTCACCGTGAGTTCACAGATAACATTTGTAATGCACATTTAATTCACATAGGGCGCACGCCGTGAATCTTTAAAAATGAATTCATCGTGAATTCACTGTGAGTTCCCAGATAATATTATTAATGCACATATAATTCATGCCGGGCGCACGCCCTGAATCTTTAAAAATGAATGCATTGTGAATCCACTGTGAGTTTCCAAATTACATTCCTGAATGCACATTAAACTCCTACCGGGCGAACGCCGTGAATCTTCAAAATTGAATGCATCGTGAATTCACCGTGAGTTCACAAATAACATTTGTAATGCACATTTAATTCACATAGGGCGCACGCCGTGAATCTTTAAAAATTAATTAATCGTGAATTCACCGTAAGTTCACAGATAAGGGGTCATCCATTAATTACGTGAGGCAATTTTGGCGATTTTTCCCCTCGCCTTGGGAAAATGCATTGTTTTAATGTAAATAAGTTAATCTGTGATTGATTCCATTAGATTTATTAAAAAAAAACAATTGTTATAATTGTTTACTTAATTTAACCCAGTTTTCTCGCCATTTTACACTGTTTATTTTTTTTTTCAAAAATTACGTGATATTTGCCGAGACCACCCTCCCCCCACGTGAGATTGGGTGGGGTTTGGCTCGACCCCCTCACCCCTAAACACATCACGTAATTAATGGATGCCCCCTAACATTTATTATGCACATTTAATTCACACCGGACACACGCCGTGAATACAGACCTGTTAGCACGTTTAATTAAAGATCTTCAAATTTATTTTGATAGGTTAGCTATACCTCTGTTTGATAGGGAAGGTATACCTACCCTATTAAAATAAATTTGAAGACCGAATTCGAAATAAGAAAAAGAAAACATTAAAGGAATATTAATTAAAGATTTTTATTAAATATTAAACGGAAAATAAAAAAGTACATTTTTTAATTAATATCAGTTATTAATATTTAATATACCTATAGGTAATAATAATTATATATAATAATTGCAAAACCAAATACGCGGGCACTCGTGCGCATGCGCCTATGGCCGTCACATTTCAACTAAATGCAGGGTTGCCGCTTGCAGGTATTTGACCTGAAAATCGCGTATTTCATCATGCTTGCAAGTAAAATATTGAAGCAGGTATTTTATAAATTTTACTTTTCAAAGAAATTTTCAGTAAATAATATTGTATAACTACTAACTAAACATAATTCTTTAATTCTATCCTTTTATTTTTCTCTTAATTTATTCAAAATTTAATTCACTTTTCCAAATTGAGCAAATGTACTAGAAATTTTTACTCGTGTGGGTAATTTCTAGTATTTTGTAATTTTTGGTCGGGAACTTTCACGAAAATCATCCGGCTGCAATCCGGCAACACTGCAGCGTTAGTGTGCGACGCACACTGTGCGTACGCAGCTAAGAGCCACGAGGTTTTCTATAGAATACCATATACATATGTATGGTAAACATCTAGCTAGATATCCTGTATACCGGTAAATCGTTCAGTTCATATCCTTTTTCTATGGTTCAGAGATAAACGTTCAGTTTCAAGGTGTATGTATCTTGGTTCAGTTTTTCAGTTTTATAATATATAGGTATTCAGTTCATAAATACTTAAGTTGCTAGCCAGGAATTCCAAAGGTAAGTTTGACATTTTTATATTTTAGCATGATCAAATTTAAGATACGAATTTTATTGTATATATACTATAGTAGGTCAGTGCACTGATAATAATTGTTACAATTATTGCAAAAACAACAAAAACAATGAATAACCATGGTTATAACGCTTTATTGTAGTTATATTTTTTTATAAAGTTTTTATTCATTGTTTTTGTTTTTGAGTCAGATCACATCAAGTGGACCTCCCATTTTCCACTTGGTAATAGAATTTAAATTTTAATACCTACATCAATCGTTAGTAGTCTTTAGTAACAATATTTCCTTAAAATATATATTTTTTTATTTTAATTTTAACAGTTTTTTTGTAACAAAGATTTTTCTCACTTTTAATTAAAAAATTAATTGTGAAAAAACTGTTAAAAGTTTCGTAGTGAAATTTTCAGGACTTTTTTTTAAATTTTTTTATACTTTTTTTGATCATTGAAATATACAATTCAAATTTTTGATAAAGTCTCTATCAAATAATAAAGTTTTTTTCATGGTTACATGTACTGGATATAAAGGTTTCATATCCTGAAAAAAAAATTTCACTGCCCGGCATTTCTTTAAACATTATTATTTTTTTACTGCAAGGATCCGCGCCTCATGAGTCGAAGCCGCGCTCGGCTGAATTGGTTTGAATGATTTGTTTTTATTTGAATTCAAAATATGACATCCATTTTAATATTTTTATTAGTAAATATACAGTCGACAAATATTTTACAATTTTTTAATCAATAAAATAAATGAATTAATTAATTAATACAGAATATTTTTATTAGCTATCGCAAGACTTTTCTTTATACACAAAAACAAATATTTTTTTTTGTTCTAAGCGTTTTTTAAATAATATTTATTAAATTTTATAAAATGAGTCTTGTAAATAAATGCTTTAATCCATTAATAATGTTATAATTTATATATTTTTTAAGGACCAAAAAGAAATTAAGTTAAGGGAAAAAAATTATGAGTTATTTGACTCATTTGATGATGTGTCCAGTGATGAATCAGTAAGTATACTTATCTGTAGATGTAATTTCATATATGTGATACATAATATATACCTATTATAATAAAATATTATACAGTATTATACTCATGTGTATGCATTAACTAGTATTATTGATGTTATAATTCATATTTTTTTTAAGGTTAAAGAGGACATTGAAACCTCTGAGGTTGATTCGGAATAAACTTTACAACATAACACTTTGTGTTTTATTTCAGTATACTATTGTACCTCAAGTTTAATTATACAAAGTTTATACAAAAGTGCTCTTTTAGTTCCACCCTTACTTCTTAAGAATTCCCATAAGCCAACTGAATGGCTTGTGCCGGTTAGGGGTAGGAACGGACTGCGGGTTTAAAGTCCCCTTCGAAACTAATACACAATAGGACAAACACAAATAAACAGCCATACCCCTGGTGGGATTCGAACCCACGACCTCCGGCTTGTAGTCAGCAGCACTAACCACTAGACCACCGTCGGCGTGGATGGCATAATTGTCTAAAAAAATATTCTCCAATTGGACATAAATTACATCTTTATTTAACATTTTTCATTTGACTTTATTTACAAATATAACAAAATCTGTTATTTTAAAAAATAACACGTTTTATTTTGTGTTCCAATTTAAAATTTAGTGCAAAAAAAAGTATACGCACGAAATTCACCGTAAATACGCACGCGAAGATGCGCCCTCCCCTTGAATTCACCGTAAATGCACAAGTGAAGCTCGAAGTGAGTGCGCATGCATGCTAAAATTCGCGCAAAAAAATTGAAATTATGGTGAATGCACATTTTTTGTTCAGAAAACTTATTTTACTATATAGGGGAAAATATGTTTTCTGAACATGCACCCTTATTTCATTTTTTTCGCGCGAATGCATTTACGGTGAATTTAAGGGACGGACGCATCTTCACGTGTGCATTCACGGTGAATTCATGTGTGCATTTAAGGGGCGGACGCATCTTCACGTGTGCATTCACGGTGAATTCAATGGGCGGATATATCTTCACGTGTGCATTCACGGTGAATTCCAGGGGCGGACGCATCTTTTAGCAACCGTGAATTCACGCGTGAAGCAATATTTTTCACCGTGCATTCACGGTGAACTCACGAATGTTATCTGGGAGGTTTCAAAGATGATACACCTTAGATCGTAAGGGATATTGCCTGAGAATAAAAGAATAAATTTCCTGTTTCTAAGGCAATTTGCTTAAATTTTTAGGTAGATTTTAGCTAAGTTTTCAGGCAAATTATATATATTTTTAGTGAAAATCCTAGCATAGGAATTTTCTTTCAAGTTAGGACTCCTTCATCTTTATGTCCTAGGCGAATTAACAACGGCGGTTCCGGTACTACATGTAGTACCGGAACCCTTTAAATAACCCTGCAGGGTTGGGATTATTTAAAAATAAATTGGGGTCAATGGGAAATTCCATTTACTTTGGATTACTTAACTATAGCCCTGTTGTATACAAAATGTTCACTTATATCACAATAATTGATAACTATGTTGTTATATCAATAGCACACCACGCGGTCTTTAAGCTTTCGTTGATTTTGGCATTCTGGTGGACAATATAGGCGCGAATATTTATCTTAAAACGTCGGTATTAGCGATCGTAGCCGATTTCAAGTAAGTCACTAATATTTAAAGGAATTTACCTAAATTAGTTCAATAATTTGCCATAATAATTTAGAAGAATTACCTAAATTAAAAGCTAAATTGTGGTACCTAAAAGTAATTGAGATTTTGACTAAATATTTAGGTAGATTGCCTATCTCTTTAAATTTGAAAAGTTTATTAAGTAAAGTATGAATATTTATCTAGAAGTTAGTGAATACACCATAGAACTAAGGCATTCGTTTCTGCCTAATAAACGAGAAGGTAAATTGCTTTACTCGTTTAAGCATATTACCTTATTTTTCCTTAACTAATTCTGATTAGGTATTTCAAAAGGCTTAATTTTGAACAGTGTGTGCGTGAGAATATCTTCAGAATTGATCTCAAAGATTTGTTTGATGTTGCTGCGAAAGACGCTCTGATTAAAATGAAAATAATGTTGACGACAAAGTTTTCCTTCAAAAGCAGAGAGAAGATTTTTTAAGTAGCATAAGTATTGCTCACCTTAAAACTAAAGCAAGGGAGTCTTCATCTATAAACTGTGAAATAAAAGTGTAAGCTTGGTTTATGTGAGATATTTAAATGAAGCTCTAATAGGAATTTAATTCTAGCTCTGGCTCTAATCTAATTGTAGCCCTATAGGCTTTATGTGAGATATTTAAGTGAAGCTCTAATAGGAATCTAATTCTAGCTCTGGCTCTAATCTAATTGTAGCCCTATAGGCTTCCTGTAACGATATTCAGCTCTTGGGTATTCTGAAAAGTTATCTAAACAAGAAGATCGGTAAAAAACGTACGTGCTTTTAAGAGGTATAATTTGTTTTCTTTCAGAGCACTTAATAGGTTTGAAATTTTGGATGACAGTGTCTACACAACTGAAGAAATTACGGTAAATTTTTTTACTAAAAACCTAAAGCCTCCAAAATTGTCTTATTGTCCACATAGCATTGATGAAATAAAGGAAAATGATCTTACTATTGAAAATTGACACTGAAAGAATCAACTTCTTCTTTGATGTTCTTATTAGTGAAGGAAAATGCGAAAGTAAAGAATTCCTAAAAGTACCAAATCAGAATTGGATATGTGATCCGGTTTTCGACGATTATTTAATAATACAACAAATTACTGGCCAAGGACAAAGAACAGATGTAATATATCACCGGAAACATTTTCCTGAGCCCTTAAAAGCATCCCTTAAGGAATCTTTATTTCTTATAATTATGGGCGACCTTTAAATTTTATCCGATTCCATGGAATATATCGGAATAAATCGGATAAAATTTAGAGGTCGCACAGTGTTTCAATTCTCGAAATTTTCGGCAAAATATCAAGGATTAGTCGGATTCTCCTAAAAATCCGTATATAGAGGTTTTTGGGGTCGCTGATAACGAATCAGAATTCCAAAATTCAAAATGGTAGATCCAAAATGGCGGACATATTTGTCAAAAAATTGACGGAATTAATTGAAAATCACCATACAGGGTTTTTGGGGTCGCTGATAACGAATCTGGAATCAGAATGTCAAAATTCAAAATGGTAGATCCAAAATGGCGGACATATTTGTAAAAAAAATTGACAGAATTAATTGAAAATCACCATACAGGGGTTTTTGAGGTCGCTGATAATGAATCTGGAATCAAAATTCAAAATGGTAGACTTCAAATGGCGGACATTTTTATCAAATATTGTCGAAATTAATTAAAAATCCGTAAGAGGTTCTTTTTAAAATGTAATAAAACATCTTTTTATAAAATATTTATTATAATTACATTTATATGATATTATTTAATACCTATATATATATATTAAACAATCTCCGTCACTGGATTCGCTCGTTGTATCATTAGCAGAGCATGGGAAACCATCAGAAGATAGCAACAGTTTTATTGCTTCGCGGGACAAAGATTTACTCTTTTTCGAAGCAATTTTTCTGAAGCTAGAAATATACGGATCGGAAGATGCCATAAGTCAATGGAAAACATCTTCCATCGTTTTCTCCCGAGAAACTTTCAAAATTTATTTATAAAATATAACAGATTTTATACCAAGTATTTTAAATTTGTATTATTTCTTTTACTTAATATTTTAGCAACGATTTCTTAATTCGCTAAAAAAATTGTCAACACAAATAACCACAATTCAAATTTGACATTAACACACTACAATGCGCATGCGGAGTTATTTTAACGCACCCACAAGAGTGTAAAATCGGTGTTAAATATCTTAGTAGTCACGAACGATTTACGCAAGTGAAAGTCTAGACACCGCTGTTGTAATAAACGTTTTGAGTTAAATCCGAGTGAATCGAGTAAACGTCATGAACGCAACCCAAAAATAAAAAAAAATTATATTTTGTAAAGCAAAAACACAGATACGCGCTCGACATAGGCTTAAAATCGCGAGGTTTTTTTACCACAACCGTGCCTGAGCGCCCAAGAACATGTAGTTTTAAAGAGCCGGGGGCAAGTTGGGGCAGCTAATTTCTTGATGGCTTGATAGACAAAACTCTAAGCTATTCAACGGATCTTGAACTGATGCCTTACAATTCATTACAATTTTTGTAGCTCCATTGTTCTAAAAGCTCGATTCAAAGTTTGCGATTTTAACAGGCCGATCTTGTCGGTTACAATAACCCGTTGTAGAAGCAAAATCTACGAAAAAAAAATACATATCTGAATTTTAGATACCTTGAAGATCACCCTTCATCAAACCGCATAACAATCGGACACACCAAACACAAATTATTCACTTTTAAACAATAAACAATTTTCCGCAGCGATCGCGTGTAAAGTACCTTCAACTGAAAGCGTCAAGTTTAAACTGATGTACCAGAGAAAATATTCGTATTTTATATATATTTTTTTCAATACAGGATGGAGACAGGTATTAACTACACATCTAACTCAAAATTTACCTGAAAAAAAAATGTCAATTCTTGAGGTTTTGCCGATATTTTCCAGAATTGAAACACTGTGGGTCGCCCATAATTAATAATATGAAACTATGAAATAAAGATTCCTTAAGGGATGCTCAGGAAAATGTTTCCGGTGATATATTACATATGTTCTTTGCAAGCAAAATTTGGGTACTGTTCATCTAAATGTCATAGAATTAAAAAAAACTTGTTGAAACGAAATATATTTAAAAAAATTTATTACCATATGGGATATATTGTGAAGATAACTGAGGTGTGATCCATGGTTGGTTTTGAGGAACATACTGCTGGGGCTTCATGTTATTATAGTGATTTCTGGAGTTAACATTCATTGGGTCGTTTATGGGGCTCAAGAAGTCTTGCTGTTCAGGCCTATTTTGCACATTCGGAAGGTGCTCTTCAGGTGAAATCACTTGTGGATGATACATCAAATCCTGTTGGTTTGCAATTGGTGGATTAATACGAGGTTTAGGCTGAATATTCTGTAAAAAAAATATCGTGTTGATGTTTATCTCCTGGTATTTGTGTCATTGTTTAATTAACAAAAATCCGCGTGAGCGCACAAATTATATAATAAAAATACGCAGGAAATAAACAATCTTCGTTTAAGTAGGTACATTTCGCCTTTGCACAAAATGTCTCCTTTTGTTCTATTAGCTCAATCAAGTTCACTTCGTGATAACAAACATTACCTACACAGACCCTTAACAAATATGGAGTTGTCAATGTACTGCTTGTTACTGGTTTATTTAGTTGGAGTTACTGTGCATGGAGATACACGTAAGTAAAAAAATATTAGAGAAAATTTAAAAGTTGCGTACAAATTTCCGTAGGGGAACTTATACCTCTAGAAGCCCCAGAAAATTTAACTTTAATCGATATAGGTGAAAGAGATGTTATGATAATGTGGAGCCCAGTGAATAAATTAAGTGTTAGAGGAACTTTTAGAGGATATATTATTAGAGTTTGGAATCACGTACAGGTAAATTTAATATTTTTTTTTACAAAATCAAGATTTTAAAAATTTATAATAATACTATTCAAAAAGAAGTTTTCTGGTAAAAGCTTAAGTTTTGAGTGGGACATCTTTTTCTATTTATATCACTTAAAAATTTCTTCACCCCTTCGCGCAACGTTCACAACCCTTAAAAATATAATTATACGGCAAGTGATATCTCATTTAAAATTGATGTTCCAACAGCATACTCAAACTAGACATTCTGGCAGGAAAACAATGAGAAAAGTAGAAAAAAGTTTATTAATCTATGCAGTGCTATAAGTGTTTGCCACCAACTTCCACACAAAAATGCAAATTTTACCTTCTAATTTTGAAGTATTTGGGGAGTTATTTAACAGCATTCATCCATAATACGTTGTTGCAACTCTTGTAGAGACCTCGACTATGTTGCTTAAATTTTACTTTTTAAATGACCCCACATAAAAAAGTTACGGGAAGTCAAATCTGAAGATCTTGCCGGCCAATCCAGAGCACAGTAAACACTCGGCCCAAAAACTTTCAAACACGCAGTGCATACACAGAAAAAACGCTAGCATAGCATGAATGGGTGAGCCATTAAACCAATGGGATCTTGTAATCCGTATTCCTGAATAACAGTTCCTATAATACCAATAGGTAGCTAGCACTTGGTTTACAATCGTTTACAGTTTTTAAATTAACAACAAAAGTTATCGCTCCTAAATCTATTGATATTCATATTGATATTTATTTGTTAGGATGTTAGAATGTTATTGCATTAAATACTAATTTGATTTATTTAATAACGTTACTATAGTATTCATAGTATACATACAATATATTGTATGTATACTATGAATACATTTAACGCAATAAATTCTTTGACATTTAGGCGAAATATTTCCCTATTTTGGTTTAATAGTAATTAATTGAGCAAATAACAATTTAGATTGCTTCAATTTTAATGCATTCAATGACAGCGCTGTTCTTGGTACTATGTTAGATTTTTTTCTGTGTAGTGTGAAGATACTCCATATTGTTGTACCAAGTAGCAGTCATCGTGTTCAACAATATTGACCAGTAAGGGTTGAACAACATCTTCTAGTTACTTCAAATACGTTTCTCCTGTCAGGATAGCATCAAGAAAGATGGGTACAACCAATCGATCTCCGAAAATACCTGCCCACACCTTAAGTTTTTGAAAAGTTTGAGTTTGGACTTTGTGGAAAACCCTCCAAGGGTGCATATGACCAGTAACGAGTCGTTACTAACGACAATTATGGCTATTTATAAAAGAGTTAAGAAAAACGTACACTCGTCTAAAAAACAGATGTTGAATTTTTTTTTTACAAAATTAACTATTTGTTCAGTAATAAATTTGCTAAACTCTAGTCGCCGGTTAAAATCGTGTTCATTTAATTCATGGACTAAATGAATCTTGTAAGGACGAAATTTATGAGATCAAAGGATCCGTTGGATGGCGGTTTTTGGGAATGTTGGTAAACGTAGCTAATTTTCTCGTGCTTAAAGTTTGATCAGCAACTTGTCCTGTCAGCATCTTTATTCCTGACCTCAAGTTCAAGTCCAAAGATCCGTTTTTTGTTCGCTATACTAAACCTGTTCCTTGGAACTTTGCCAACAACTCCAAAACGATTTTTTTTCTTAACATGCCTATCCGGTTGTTGTTCATTAGTAATGCCGCGTCTCGTGCAGCCTGAGAAAATGGGTCTCTCGTCTCGTCGAGAATACTCTTTTCTCGCTCGAGAGTGCCTTTCTCTCGTCTCGTTTCTCTCGTGGTAAAAGTAGCTATGTATAAATACAAAAATTATTTGGAATGAAATACGAATTCGTTGGAATTGGTTGGATCTATGTGGAGTAGTTACATCTAGTATATGGGTCATTCTTACAATAGGGGAAATTTTATGTCCCTGACTTGCCATGCTCAGTCAAGTGCGTGTTCACCATTTTTTATTTTATATATAAATATATTTATTTAGGGGTTTATTGACCCTATTCATACACCTATTAACTTAATAATAAAATAAAACCAATTCGATACATTTTCCCTTTAATTACATAAATTGTCATTAGCGTGGATGTCCCTGGATATCCTTTCACCAGAATATTTTTTTTTTGCAAATTAAGAAACTGTCCATAAATACTCTAGCAATAGTATATTATAGACAACACTTTTTAAGATATGTTAAGCGGGATTGAGACAAAAAAATAAAATTGAATTGAAAAAAAAAACATTTCTTAAATGTGTCCCTGAGTTTGACATCATTAGCGTGGATTATAATGATACGTATTTAAAATTCCCGCCTACTTTAAATTTTCCAGTTAGCGACCGTTATTATAAACATTTTGGTATACGCTATTTACTTGATTTGGCGCCAAACGCGAACAGTTGCACAGTGAACTATGAGGTGTGAAGTTGTTATGTGTTTCATGGGCGTATGTTTAACCCGTAACCGGTACTGTGGTGTCTGGGAGACACTCATCAACGAACAAAGCCCTGTCCCACCCTCACCTTTTGTTTTAAAAATCTGTCGCTTCCAATACTTTTAAGTTGAGCAGTTATCAATATGCTCTCAGACTTTGAACAAGTTGGATTGTCAAACGGACAAATTATTACAAGTCAAAGTGTTGAGGTATCTAGTAGACCACTGCGTACCGTTTACGTAATTTTTATAAAATAATTAATTCGTTATGGATTCGCAACAAGGGCCTTCTAAAAGTGTCCAAAGTGATAAGAAAGGCTTATTTTTAATTTTTTTGTAGTTTAGTATTAGGTAGTTTTATTTTTAGTAAATGAAATGTAAACCTTACCCAGTCAACATTCGTGAATCCACAACTGATTCACATTCGGTTCACAGCCGTGAATTTTACCAAATGATGCAAATGTGAGTCCATGTGAAGTCCGCGTGAATTCAGAAGGGGTTCATATGGAGTTCACAGCCGTGGATTTAACTAAATGACGCGAATGTGAACCCAACTGAAGCGCGCATGGATCCACGATTTATTCACATTCAGTTCAGGTCGTGGAATTTACGAAATTAAGTTAATGTGAACTTCGCGTGAATTCACAATTGATTCACATTCAGTTCAGGGCCGTGGAATTTATTAAATGATGCTGATGTGAAGTTATGTGAACTTCGCCTGGATCCACGATTGATTCACTTCCAGTTCATGGCCGTGGAATTTACTAAATGAAGTTGACATGAACTTTGCGTGGATCCACTTTTTATTCACATCCAGTTCACGGCCGTGGAATTTATGAAATGACGCTGATGTGAAGTTATGTGAACTTCGCCTGGATCCACGATTGATTCACTTCTAGTTCACGGCCGTGGAATTTACTAAATGAAGTTGACGTGAAGTTTGCGTGGATCCACTTTTTATTCACATCCAGTTCACGGCCGTGGAATTTATGAAATGACGCTGATGTGAAGTTATGTGAAATTCGCCTGGATCCACGATTGATTCACTTCCAGTTCACGACCGTGGAATTTATTAACCCATTAAGTTAATGTGAATCTTGGTGAAGTTTACGTGGATCCGCATTTTGTTCACGGCCGTGGAATTTACAAAATTACGCTGATGTGAATTTATGTGAAGTGAGCATGGATCCTACCGCAGTACTGCTGCAGCAGGTGTTACCAGATTCTGTCAAAAAAAGTCGCTATAGCGATGAATACATTTATTTGCATTTACCTTAATTACATCTTTGAATTTATCTTAATTACAAAATGACCCAATTAACAATAATAATTAATTATAATTATAATTATTAATAATTGTTAATTATGTCATTTTGTAATTAAGATAAATTCAAACAAATGTACCCATACAGCACCTAAGACGAAAAGCAAATTAATTTGCTTAGTGAATACGGCTGAATATCATATTATGAAAGTTTGGTTACCACGGAAATTACATATTTCAGATTTAACAAAGCTTTTTTATTAACACCTGTAGGTATCATTCGACATACCCTCGTATTACAGTACACATGTTGTGTGTACTACACATGCGCAATAGTCTTCTAACAGTCTGCTTCTAACCCTAAAATTTATATATACTGCGTAGTTTGCGACGAGAAGGAAATCATAGAACAAACCAGGAAAATTTCATGAGGAAGTAATTATTTGTGTTTGTGTTTGATAATCAAAGGTAAGTGTAGGTATAAATCCAGCTAAAGAACTAAAATAGCCAACATATATAAAGTTGTCATATTAATATGCAGGAGTAATGTTACATTTAGAAAAAAACGTTCTTTGTATTGTACAATTTTGTGATTGTAAATTGTAAATGTAATTTATTTTGTGGATGCGAGGAAAATAGCAGGGTAGCAATGTTTTCCCGTCATATGCAGGCTGTTTTCAAGGCCACCAGACAAAGAATCCGAAAGCTAAGGACCCAAGTAAGATAACATATCATAGTGATTCAGGTAGTTGTCTAATATTTAAAAATTTTGTTCATACAGATAAATGGAACGGAACAACAACAGGCCGATGTCAAACAACGGACCGATGTCGAACAACGGGCCGATGTCGAAAAAAGCGTGGAGTCATTTGAGAGTCGTCCGATACAGATACGGATACAGATATATCCGTATCTGTATCTTTGTAATCATAATTGTTTTTTTAACAATTAATTTTTATAATATGTATAACATATTAATTTTTATTTATATATAACATATTTATGTAATATTTTTATTTTTTTATACTTTTTTATTTCTTATTAAGAATTTATGTTTATTTTTTTATCAAAATATATGTTTTTTTAATACTTTTGCATTATTAATAATGCAGAAGTATATAATTACTACTATTATTATAATAATTATTATTACTCTATATTAATATTTACTAAAAAATAGTAATAATTATACACTTTTGTATAAATCTATATACAGTATATATATAGTATATAGGTAGTATATACTATATATACTAGGTTCACAGTACCTTCAGATACCCTTAATTTATGAAGTCACGGTGAATTCATATAGGTTCATCTGAAATCCACTCGTGAATTCATATGAACGTAAAATGAATCCATATGAATTCACAGTGACTTCATATTTTGTCGTCATCTGAGGGCACCCTGAATCCACGATGAAGTGAAATGAATTGAAAATGCCTTCATGTGAATCCATTGTGAATTCACGAATGTTTACTGGGTTATTTATATTTTTGTTCTGTTATTGGAGTTTTACTCCGTTGGGCAAATAAATGAATTATTATTATTATTATTATTATTATTATTAAGGAAACTGTAATGTAGTGGTTTTATGAAATCTACAGCGATAAAAGTGATATAGATTACTGTAGTATACTACATAACCATTATAGTGATTATGTCGTTGAAGATAATCACAGCAGCGATTCAGGACTTGTCTGTAAAGAGTCTATAGAAAATAATTTTAAAGGGTCAGATAGTGAAGAATTTGAAATTTTTTAAGAATTTGATAAAAAAACAAAAAAGTTACTATGGAAAAAATAATTGTAAAAATTAGCTATAGTTTGAAGCAGTTATTTTTGCTGTTAAAAAAAGATATATTTAATTTTTTTTTGTTTATGTTATTTTTTAAGGTATATTCTTCGAAATAAAGATTGTTTTATTTTGTTTGGTTTAATATTTTTTATAGTTTAATCACAAAGTTTGCACTACTGCACTTTTTCTACATGTTTTGATTAAAACCTATTTGTTTAAATTTTTCTTTTATTCAGGTATTATTTTTGGTGATATTCTAACTTTATATATATTTCCTAGTATCCCCAAAGCCTCAGATAAAAAAAAATAATATAAATTATAATTTTAAATGGCAGGTGTCTCTCAGACCCCTTAGTACCGTTTATGTCCTGAAAGTCGTACAGTACCGGTTACGGGTTAATGTGCATCATTGGAGTGCTAGTGACAATTTTGTTTATCTAAAAGCTATTAGAAAAATATTGACAATAATTAATGAGCAGTGACAACTACAAAAGTTATGCATAATTTAAATTAAATTTATTAATCCATTTGCTGTCCAAAGAACCTTAACCTTAATTTAGTCATTGGCGTGGATATTTACTTGCATCATTGGCGTGGACTTTTTTGTCCACGCTAATGACGGACTATCCACGCCAATGATAATTTGTACGAATAATGATAATAAGATATTTTTATCTAAAATCGGCAGTAAAGTAGAACTTTAGTACCGATTTAATACGAGCATTGCATGCAAACCATTACTGCTCCTTAGCAGCAACTAAATAATATTTTTAAAAAAGCACCTTCGCGGAGATCAATTGGATCAATTGGAAGTTCCAATTTGGAACCTTTCATAAAATGTTAAAAAAATAATAATAATTTAATTTTATTAATTAAATTAAAAAATCGCCGCGGCGCGCCGCGGCGGGCAAATATATCATAACCCAAAGATAATATATAATATAATAATATAATATATAATATAATATAAGATAATATATTATCTTTGTCATAACCATCGCAACAAACAGTATACCATGGACACTACATTCAAATGACATTCGATTCAAATTTTAATGCAGAAGGTGTCTACTGTTTAAAAAGGTAAATAATTTATAATTATTAAATGCGATTTCGGATAAAATTTAATATCGTTACCCTAATTCGCAAAAGACGTAAGTCCACTTTTGAAAAACCGGGTTTTAGTGCCATCTCCTGTTCATGAACCTGCAGGTTTAATATCTACATAAACCGGCAAGTAGCATTACATTTACAATGGGTAGCTGCAATTTACAGAGACATGGTATCCAGGTATGTCTCCTTTTTTTTATTAATATCGAGCACTGAGGTAAATTATTTTTAGGAATAATTGAGGATATAAATGGAGAAAACATAACTATTACCTTTATGGCAAGAAGTGGTAAATAGTTTTATTGGCCTGGATCAACTGATCGACAAATCTTTACAGAAGCTGGTATATTATGTAAACTTGATTTGCCACCACAGCCAATTTCAAATAGATTTTTTAAAGTACCAAACTCCGAGGAAATTGATAAAATATGCTTAATTCATTAATTTTTTTTGTAACCAATGTTTACTTATAAATAAATATTAAAAATATATTTTGTATCATTATTCAATGAAAACTGTCATTAGCGTGCCTCTTAGTCATTGGCGTGGATATGGATTTTTGAAAAAGCCCCAAAATTAAAAATTGAGCTCAACAGACTCATCATTTCATAAACTTTATTCATTTCTTATAAAACAGTAGTTTTTAAAAATTTTCTGTAACTGTTTTTTTTTTAAATTTCTTATACTCAAGATTGCTCCTATTATAAGAATATGCCATATAGGCGCAGTAGTTTTCAAATGGATGGATCAAATCATCTGAAAACTACTGCGCCTGTATACCTACTAGATTTAACTACTCCATATAGGTCCAACCATCTTGTATCTCCTGCGCATAGATGTAAATATCTAAATACTAAATTTTACCCAAACTATTAAAGCCGAACTACAAATTTTCATCATATTGTATCAGCCATTTTATTTTTGAAGAAATGGATATCAAATTTGTAATCAGCCCCTCAAAAACCATATGTTTTTCAAGTTTATTGAATTTTTTATGTTTTTTAATAGTATAAGGAGTGTCATAGATGTGCTTAAGTATTTCTTTCTTGGTTAACGTTAAGTTGTGTTATAAAATAACAAAATGTTAACCAGGAACAAATTTTGTTTATTATAAAATACGAATAATGTTCTCATTGGCCCATTTAGTTTGGCCAGAAAAACGTTTCGACGATCTCCGAATTGGCAAGATTTGAAATTTGGAGGTTGGGAATCTTAAAATCGATTTAATATTTTGAAAAATTCGCAAAAATTTGGAATAATGCGCATGCGCTCCTCATGTGCATTGTTTACTTATTACCGGAAAATCGAGAGAGATCGAGAGAAACGAGAAATTCTCGAGCCTTTTTTCGCCGTCGAATCTCTCGTATCGGCTGCATCACTATTGTTCATTGAATTAATCTGTTGTACGATTTCCGCACTCACTATTTTTTTTCGTTCAGGTCCAAGTTCGCTATACTAAACCTGTTCCTTGGAACTTTGCCAACAACTCCAAAACGAATTTTTTCTTTACATGCCTATCCGGATGTTGTTCATTGAATTAATCTGTTGTACGATTTCCGCCCTCACTATTTCTTTTATCAATTTTAACTATTTTCGCAATTCCTCAAACCATTATTAAATGACACTGAACTAATTTTGTGTACTTTTTTATGATTTGATAGTTTTTTCTATCACATTTTTTCCCAAATTCCTTATCGGTATACTAAGTATACTTTTTAATTTGAATAAGAAACAAAGTGCGCTGTTGCAATTTTAATTTTAAATATCTCGAAAATGAATAAATAGAATTTGACGCTTGTTTTAAAAAATCTTTGTTTACTACCCCAAAACTCTTGTTTTTTTTTCGTTGGGCCACCCTTTATATAAATGGGTATAGCTATAGCTTCATTTAAATAAAAATAAATAAGTGTAAAAGTAATTTTTAATTATTTAGACTCAAGTATATGCCGTTCCTCCAGATGTAACCACTACAAACGTGCAATTTTTCCCCTATTCCAAGAATTTTATAACTGTCAGCGTTAGAAACGAAAAATATGTGGGACCAAGAAGCACTGCTATACGTTTTGATGCCCCGCAAACAGGTGAGTAAAATTATTATATTTTTTTAAGTACATGTGCATAGATTAATATTGTAGAACCAAGTTACCCATACCTTTTTGAATGGCACCAGCTTGGAAATGATTCAGTACTTCTTCAGTGGAATAAACCAAAACAACCCAATGGTATTTTAATAGGTTATAACATTTATACAAGCAAAATGAAGCCAAGTGGAGGTATAGACGAAAAGTCAACAATTCATCAGTCGATAAGCGATCCAAACAAGTTTCAAACAAAAGTGACTGGACTGAAGGAAGGAGTGAAATATCAAGTAGATTTGGCTGCTGTTAATTGCGCTGGGGAGAGTGAACAGTAAACATAGATTTTCTTTAATTATGTACATCACACTGTAACTTTTTTTAACTGTAAAGCTTAAAACTTTTTATTTTGAAATGTTAAATTTACCAAGCACAATCTATGTTTTTGTATTTTTAGTAACTCCATCGAGATGGAATTAGAACAACACACCCCGGAAACACCTTCAATACCGTTCTTTAAATACAAGATCGATTACAAACCAATGGACTCGCTAAACGAATGCATAAAACCTACAGTGCCAATCGTCACAGTTCCTCCCAAAGTGGACATCGATTTTAACGATTTTGATGACGATTACTTTGTTTTTAACGAGACTGAAACCGGAAAAATAGTGAGAGGTACTACCACCAAGAAACCAAAAACCACCACGAAAAAAATCGACACCACCCATGACCCTTGTATAGTTGATTGCATGATTACGTGGATGCCTGATGTTGATGATGTTCCAGGTGAACATTTCTACGTGAAATACAGACAAAGAGGTTAATACATTATAAACGCTTTTTATTTAAATTTTGATAATCGATTTTTAGGTTTAAAGGATTTCAATACCACCGATCCAATTAAAAATGAAGATTTTGTTATTTTAAAAAAATTCAACGGATGTCAAAGTTACGAAATTGTTTTGGTGACCGTGGATGGCGACCATGAGACTGAAAGCGACTTGCAGATGACACCAGCAGTACTTTTTATGACCTATTTCTAAATTCATTTTTTGTATAAATTACAAACCGTAGATATAGGATATAATTTATTACAATAAACCGTATAAAATTTAAAGCACTGTTTTATTTGCGCTGTTTTCAAGTTAATTTCCCGCCATTCTTTGAAAAAATGTCCTAAATTTGATTTGGCCTCCAATCAAAAGACATTAAATAAAATTAGCCGTATTTACGATACTTAATTTGGTAATTACCGTTATAATGAGTGTCATCATAAAATTACCAGTAAAAAGGTGAATAAAATATTGTTAAGATACGTTTCTAGATAATAATTTAATTTCTTTAAAAAATTATTTTTAAAAATTGTTTAATTGTATTTTAAATTGTTTATTTTGCAATTTTTACAAATATTTTTCAAAAGATATCTGTATTTTAAATTGTTTATTTTGCAATTTAAAATACAATTATACATATGAAAATACAATTAAACCTATGAAATAAGAACAACCGGGATGTTAGAGCGTGCTGGGAACATAAAAATATGCAAATTAAATTTATTTATATATTTTTATCTTGTTTGTATGCTAAGTTTATTTTTAGGTCAATTATTTTCCGAAGAGATTTTATTAAAGAGCATAACAACAACCATACTGTCTTTTCCTGGTAAAAACAGTAATGTTATTTCCATTTTAGCCTTGGCCTGACATTTTACAATTACCAACCCATTTTTGGCTCCAGTTTTTGTTATCAAATTAATCGATGCGACATTTTTACTTTGTGCTAAAACTTAGTGCACTTGAAAGTTTACTATACAGGGTGAGTCTTTTAATATCTCGGTAAATGGGCACTTAATTACAAGCATTTCTAATTTGCTCAATCATATTTTCAAGGGTTGTTGGTACTTGTTGATACACACGGCCTTTGAGATAGACCCATGGGTGTGTGCACAAAAGAAAATCCGGCGAAGTAAGATCAGGTGATCTAGCAGGCCAACTAACCGGACCAGCTTTACCAATCCAGCGACCATTAGAATTGCGATCAAGGACTTAGTGTGCTGGGCAACCATCATGTTAAAACCACACGTTCTGTCGTACTTCCAAGATTCCAAGTCTTCAAGTAATGTGGGTAGTTTATTTTCCAAAATATCTCGGCACATTTCGCCATTTAAGTTCCCTTCAATGATGTAGGGACCGATGAGCTTGTTGCCAACCATTTCACACCACACGTTGACACTCCAAGTACGCTGATGTTTAACATGATAGATAGATAGATAGATAGAAATTTATTTGTCACTAAATAGTTACAAAATCGTCAGGTACAAAGTGCAATATATGAATGAATACAGAAAAAATATATATAATACAAATTACAAAAAAAAACGCATATAAATTAAACATAAATAAAATGTATAAATATCATGTAAACAGTGGACATATAAGTAAAAGTTTATTATCACAGAATTTCCAGGTACTCATCAATTGTATAAATAGAATTTGCTAACAGAAGGCTCTGTATGGATCTTTTAAAAGTATTTGTGTTCAGTTTTTTTAATTCTGCTGATATTGGATTGTACAATATTGGACCCCAGTAACCTATCCCTTGTTTTGTCATTTCTAACCTGTGAAGGGGAATAGTCAAATTGGTCTTATTTCTGGTATTATAGTTGTGGTATAGTTCATTTTTTATAAAGTTGTTTTTGTTGTTATGCACAAACAGAAGGCAAGTAAGTATGAATATGGATGGCAAGGTAAGTATTTTTAAGCTTTTAAAGTATGTTCTACAGCTTTCCTTTTGGTCAATTTTGCTCATGACTCTAACAACCTTTTTTTGTAGGACAAAAATCCTGCTAATGTCCCTGGAAGCACCCCAGAAAATTATTCCATACGAAATAAGACTATGAAAATTTACATAGTAACATGTTAAAGCAGCCTTCTGAGTTGCAATATTCATTAAGGTGCGTATACTATAAATAGCTCTTGAAAGTTTGTTGATAAGTTGATTTATATGATGGGACCAATTTAATCGACTATCAAGTTCTATACCCAAAAATTTAATGGATGTTATGGGGTTGCTGAAGCTGAATGTAAGTTTTTGTGTTTTATTAATGTTCATACTTAATTTATTGCTTACCATCCATTGGCTTGCTTCTGTAATGCAGTCGTTTGCCTTATTTTCTATATCTTCTTCAGTTTGGCATTTGGTGAGAAAAGATGTATCATCTGCGAATTGGTAGCCTCCATATGTATCAACATTTGGCAAAAGGTCGTTTACATATACCGTGAATAATAATGGTCCAAGAACTGATCCTTGTGGAACACCATGTATAATAGGTAGGCTGGTTGAATATGAGTAGTTCCAGAAGACGTGCTGGGTTCGACCTAACAAGTAGCTTGACATTAGATTTATAACAGTACCTCTAAATCCATAGTGAGTAAGTTTATCCATAAGTATCTGGTGGTTAACTGTGTCAAAAGCTTTTGATAAATCGCAGCACACCAGCTGTACTATCTCTTTTTTATCATAAGCTTCTATTATTTTTGATAAAACGCCATTTATTGCTGATATTACAGACTTGTTTTTTCTAAAACCATGTTGTTCTGGATTGAGGATTTTGTACTTATCCATGAAAGATACCATTCGCTCCTTAATTGCTTTTTCAAAGATCTTTGACAAAACTGGGAGAATTGCTATTGGGCGGTAATTATCACAGGAATGTTTACATCCTTTTTTATACACTGGTATGATTTTCGCTATCTTAAGTTCTTCTGGGTAATAGCCATCTTGGAAGCACAAGTTAATAAGAATAGTCAGTGGGAGCGCAAGTTCTTGACTGACTTCTCTTAGGACCTTTGGTGACATTTCATAGATATCTCTGGTTAATTTTGGTTTTATTTTACATATAATGTTAAATGTTTCATTTACTGTCAATTCTGTAAGGTAGCATGAACTTTTATTTTTTTCCGTCTTGGATATGTAATTATCATGATTTGTAGTTTGTCTAGGAAGAGCATTTATAGTTTTTTGCGCTACTTCCGCAAAATATACATTTAGAATTTCTGCTGTTAGCTGTACATCTTCAATAACAGCTTCTTTATTTGTAGTGGTTTCTTTTTTAATAATTTTCCAGGTAGCCTTTTGTTTATTGTTTGCCGAAGATATAATATTTTCATTATATTCTTTCTTTGCTTCTTTTAATTTATTATGATATATTTTTTTCAAATTATAATAGGTGGTATAGTCTTCATTTGTTTTAGTTAAACTTGCTATGGTTGCCAATGCATCTAAGGTATTTTTTAAGTTTTTAAGTTCTTCATTTTGCCATTCTATGCTATGGTGTTTATGTTTATTTATATTTTTATATTTTAGAGGAAAGGCATCTCGAAATTCTTTTAAAAGAAGATTATGGAACATTGTGTATGCTTCGCGGGAATTTCTTGCTTCTTGAAGAAACATAAAGTCTACTTTTTGAAGATTTTGTTTAAATAGGTAAGTATTTTCTGGTGTTATATCTCTCGTTAAGATTTTTTTTACTTTATTTTCTTTTTCAGCATGCAAATCCACTGTTACACACTGAGAATAATGGTCAGAAAGGTGTAAATTTACGGTGTTTTTGGAAGATGTACAGAAGTTGGTAAATATATTATCAATGCAGGTCGCGCTTTGCTTTGTTTCCCTGGAAGGTTCAAGTAGATTTGGTTGAAGCCCATAGGAAGCCATAATTTGAATAAGTTCGTTTACTTCTTTTGATTTAGCTAAAAAGTCTAAATTGAAATCACCTGCAATAACAATTTTTTTGTTGGTGTTTGAGGCTGTAATTGTTGACAATATTGTGTTTAGTGAATTTGTAAATATACCTAATTCTCCTGTTGGCGATCGGTATATACAAATTAATATGGTGTTTTTTATTGTTAGTTCAATTCCTGTTATCTCAAAATGTTTTTCAATGCTAAATTTTTCCAGTGACATATTTTTTGTTTTTATATTTTGTTGTGTTAGTATTAGGACACCCCCATGTTTGTACATTTTCCTTGCAAAATAACTAGCAACTTTATAATTGGCAATGTTAAGTTGTTTTTCCAGAAATGTTTCGTTAGCCCAATGTTCTGTAATGCATGCCAGTGATATATTTTTTGTATTTAAGGATACGGATAGAATTTCTTGTTTATTTGTGATTGATTGTATATTCTGATTTAAAATGCTTATTAAATAATTTTGAATTGAGTTTTTGTGTTCATTTATTTTATTTATCTTTGAAGATGCACTATTTAAATTCTGCTGCTGCTGTTTGGTTACGAAAAAACCTGTATCTATTGATTAGAACACCTTTGGGCCAATTTTCGCTTAAGTATAGTTCCTCCAAAATTGAGATATCTGTCTCAATCCTAAAGGAAATACTTTTAGCACCCTCTCTTACTGGACAAGGTTCGATATTAAAGTCATTTCTTTTAAATGTGGTGACTACATAATTTTTTATATCCTCTGGACTAGTATTTAAGTTTACTCTCCCCAAATGTATAACAGCTCTCTTAGGGGCACTGAGGGGACTGAGCCAACGCGGATTTTTAACACTCCAGTAATGCATGTTGTGCCGATTTACCCTTCCGTTGTTTGTAAAAGGCGACTCGTCGAAGAACAATACAAAATGAAAAAAATTTGGATTTTGTTGTATTTATTCACGTCCCACTGAAAAAAAAAATACTCGATTTTGAAAATCCAAACCATGAAGATCCTGATGTAACAAAATATGGTAAGGATGGTATTTATTTCGTTTTAATATTCTGATAACACTGCTCTGGGATATTCCGGTATCGCGAGATAATTCTCGTGTGCTCGCATGAGGATTAGCTAGGTCACCGTATTACGTGGCAAGTGTTTTAAATGTCACAAGAAGTAAAATACAAAGGGCAACATCAGTCGGAGACATATACCTATCTTTTTAAAAGTAAGAGGACACCTCAAAATTAAGACATTTAATTTACAAAAAACAATTTGATAGCCAGTGATGTAACCGATACATTTTTTTCAGTATCTAGGTACCGATACAGATACTCTCTGGTAGTTGTATCTGGGTACAGATACCGATACATTTTCCCAAAAGTATCTGGGTACAGATACAGATACATTCAAAAAGTACCGTAAAACGGGGCGATTTCGGACAGCCGGGGCGACTTCGGACATCATTACCTTAATTAAAGCTTTTAAAAATTCGAGATTGGGACGTCTGACGTAACAGAGTTCTGTAATTCGGGAAAAAACTTCGTAGAAGATGGCTAAAGCCATGGCAAGAGGCGCGTGGGTTCGGTTGTTAGGTGAAATAAGCTTTTTGCATCGTTTAGTCTGGAGTTCAAACTTTACTTATTTTATAACTTGGTAAAAGTAACTGGTGCCAGCAAGTAAATATGCACTGTATGATCAAAATAATATAGATTTTCGGTAGTACGTAATTTTGTTGATAAATTATTTTTTTTTGGTTTACGTTCGTATTACATTAACTTTTATACAGGGGTGTAATACAAATATTTGCATTTTAGGGGGCGACTTCGGACATGGTTAGGGTCTATAAAAAAATGTTGGAGAGCAATTTTTACAGAAACTATACAGAGGACAATATTTTTTAATATACTAGTATTTAGTATAAGAAGAAATAAATTTGTTTTATTGTTTTGATCCTCAGAATTCAATTTTATTTTGTATTTTGATAAATAAAATGCCCTTTTTTATTTGAATGAGTTTTTACCTAATTTCATGCTTTTTTTTCATAATTTTATGCTTTATACTTTTTTTTAAAGCAATATTTCTGTCCGAAGTCGCCACTGAATGTGCTAGCTTCGATTATATACATTTTACAACGCTTGTCCGAAATCGCCCCACCTTAAGGGGTGACTTCGGACAGACTTTGACAAAAAAAAGTAGTATTAGTATTTGTATGACTATTATAATTTTTACGTAAACTTATACCGGAAGGATGCCAAAATCCCCTGTAAAAAATTTAGTTCAAAATAACAAACAGAACCGATTCAAAATTTGAAAAAACTTAAAAAATCGTCCGAAGTCACCCCGTTCTAAGTTACTTCCAGATACTATGTAACATAGTCTATGTTAAAAAAACTTAAAAATTAAATGACAAAAAAAAATTTTTTGGACCTTATAAACAAGCGTGTTAACTATAAAATAAAACTGTTTTGATAAAATTGACGAAATATCCATGAAAAACGGAAATAAATTTTATATTTACGCGCCATATGAAAGCTTACTACAAAATTTGTAGTACAAATTCAAAATTATCAGAACAAAGAAAAATGCCTTCAAAGCCAACTATAGGTAACCTACAGCGCTTTTGTTTAACTTTACTCACTAGTGCCTAAGAGTTACTTTATGCACTTCGCACTCCAAAGTGGGTTGAAGGGAAAAAGAAATAAAATATCTTTTTATTATTTGTATTGTTCATCTCTTACGGGAGATATCAAGAATATCCAATGTAGGTATATATCCTGGATAATATCCAGTGGATATCCATAGAGTATATCCATTGGATGTTCATTTTCCGTGTGGCCCACACGGTGTGGAGTTGCAATCAGGTTGGGTAAAATAAAATGTATCTTCACAGAAAAAAATATCGTACCTGATATTAATGTCCTACGATCATTAAGTGCAAAATCATTACGATAATGTCCGTTTCATAGTATTAATGCAATCAAGTAATTATGATAATGCTTAAAAAATATGAGTTAATGTATTATTGGATTGTCACAATGTCTGCCTGGTCATTATCCTAGTGCAAGAATTTTATTATTTTTTAGCCAAAATACATTAAGACAATGATATTTTACATTAATACGATGATTATTTACATTAAATCAATAACCTAGAGTACATTAGTTAATCATTGCTCAGTGATAAAATTAATGTCAAGGCTTAATAGATTAATACTCTAAATGGTATAATTTAATAATCTAAAATTATTACATTAATGCCTATATAGACATCAACTTATGTACCCTAGCATGAATATAATGCCCTAACATATTAAATAATACAACAAATCATAACTTTATCGCCAAATACGTTGAGCCAATGTCTAAATACATTAATATTAGGCCCTGTTGTTTCCCACCACCTAAAAATGCAAGTAAGAAAACAATTTAACAACAGTTTAGTATTCCTGTTAATCCTGTTGCGACGTGCTTGCCCGCCCATCCCGATTGTTGTGCGTTTAGGTTTATTATTATATGAAATATAAAAAAGTGCAAGTATTTTTAACCTTTATTTCCCAGAAGAATGTGTCATGGTCTGGTCATTTATTGAAACCTACTTTTTTAAAATGAAGCATTCTAATACAGTTTCCAAAATCTATGTGACTTTTAGAATGTAAGTAAGACAATGTTAAAAAGTTAAGGTTTATTTATGTTTCATAAATTTTTTGTAATAAATATAAGGATTTTAAATTACCAAGGGTTTTTATTATTTTTTTATATTAATCTTTAGTTTCATAATATTTACAAAAAGGACTAGAAATATGTAAAGTTCCAGTTCCAGTTTTGCGGTGACCCGGACATAAACCCTGTAGAAAATGTTTGGGAACTTCTGTAAAGGGAACTGGCTAAAGAGAACATCACCACATAAGTAATATTAATAGTAATAATTATTAATATATTTTTTTACATATTTCTAGCTCTTTTTGTTAACTGATCAACAAAAAAATTAATTTAATTTTAAAACTTAAGGTAAGTGTAATAATTTATTTATATATATATATATATACATATATACAGGGTATCTCAAAAGTCAAGGACAGCAGAAAAGGGGTGGAAAGAGGATGGGATTCTAAGTCGAATGGTCTTTGCCGTTTTTCAATCGACTTAAAATTCCATCCTCTATCCACCCCTTTTCTGCTGTCCTTGACTTTTGAGATACCCTGTATATATATATCGATCCATTCCGGTATACCAATATCGATATATCGATTTATCGATATTTTTCCATCCCTTAATTCAGTCCTACTATTAATGCTTCTTTGCATTATGATAATGCTAACAGATCATTAATTAATGTATATTAGGTGATTGGGATAATGTTCTTTAATTGTTAATTGTTTAAAAATTTATTAATTGGTTGATGTTTACTGGGCATAGAATTAATGTACTAGGACATTAATCCATGTTAATGGTCATTAATATCAGTACTTTTATTTGAGATCTTCCTGATTAAAATCAATGTCCGCCAAGCATTAATATTACGTCCTTGTACATTGAGTAATACTTTGAAAGCATTGTGGTAATGATTTTGAGCATCGGAGCAAAATTAATGTAAAAAATCATTGCGTTAATGTTTTATTTTATTAATATTACGTACGTTTTTCGTTGTGTGTTGTATCTAAGGATCTAGATACTTTTAAAAGGATCTAGATACTAAAGTAGATCCTGATTTTTTTAAGTATCTCGATACGTATCTAGGTACATAAAATGTATCTAGATCCAGTATCTAGATACATGTATCTCGATACATTACATCACTGTTGATAGCTTTTGAAGGCCTTATATAACATGTCCATGGAGTTGCAAGTATGGGATGATTCAACAAAACTGTCACTGTCATCCTCCATAGGCTTTGGATGGACCATAGCAACCTTAGTTCTTCGTACAGAAAAAATATTGGAAATTGCAATGTTGTTTTAAAAAATCCATATTTTCCACAAAAATAAATATATCAAGGTGAACCAAAAAGAAAACTGTTAAAAATAGATGTGGCTTGATAATTAAAACTTAATTTAGAACTAAATATACCTATAGGGTTTTGCCACTCTATAGAGTGTCTTAAACTTATGGTTAAAAACATCTTTTTGTTTAAACCGGTATATTATAAACGTACATCAATTTTTAAGTAATTTTTTAAAATGTGAGCGATTCTCCATAATATTCTTTGAAATTCATTGAAAATTTGTGTGGATCGATTATTTTGCCTGTGAGTGTATATCTGTATTTTGGGTTTGGTAGCATTTTTTAATTGTTTAATTTTCAGTTGGTTTAAAAAAATTAATGAACCATTTGCTTAATACATTCTGCCTACCTCATTATTTTGATAGTGCACTTGCGCAGTCTGCGGTGGTGGTCCAGGCGGTATTTTGGGCAGCGGCTGGACGGCGGGAGCCGGGCCTGGACTTTGGACGGACGAGACGGTCATCACGAGGACCGGATCGGCCGGCGGGCATTCCAGTTCCGGTGCCTCGTCGCTTCCGTCGGCGCATTGCGGGACGCCGTCGCAAGCGTTGTAAATCGCAATGCATTCGCGCGTAGAGCGACATTCAAACTGGAAGCGGCTGCATTTTCGAGGAGGATGATCGTTATCTATAAAATAAAAAATATTTAAAAAATTGTGGATTTTTACGTGCTTACTGTATATTTTTTATAATATTAAAACGTTCAAGACACGATGTTTACCAGTTTAATAAAAAAAATGTATGTTCGATGCATAATGATGATAGCAAATAGCTAGTAAAAAATCAGTTCCAAGTATAATGAATGGACCCGGATTTAGTTGTACAGGCTCGGCGCTGCTTGGCAAAGAAGGCAAGGCAGGTAATAGCCAGCATCGTCAAATTACCCATACAAAAGCTTATTACATAAGTTTTTACGAGTGTTGCATAGCGGCTACAAGACAAGGGACCGGTCTAAACTAGCTAATTTGAATCTCACGGCATTAAGTTGCAGGCAGTGCCGGCTCGCTAAAAAATGCAGCCTAAAGCATAGTTTTAAAATGAAATAGAAAAGTAAACGAGAATAACTTGTACCCAAAGAAAATCGTTTAACTGTTAAAAAAACAATAACCACTAAAATAAACAAGTTAAAAACTATTAATTAAGTACGAAATGCAAACTAGAGACATTTATTATTAATATATCTACTAATGTAAATTATGTTTGTAATTTTCATAGTAAAATTCTATTTAAAGAAGTTGTATCAATTATTTTATCTACTCCCATTGCATAATATTGGGTTTTTTTGCGTATATACTGAACACTTTATACCTACATTTTCTGTATAACAACAGGAATAATGAACTACCTATTTACGTTGTTAGGCTTCCCATTTCAATATTCACTGTGATTTGAACAAATAGCTTATATTGGGAGAAGGCGACTATATAATATTTAAAATTGGTAAAAAGTTTAGTAAACCATTTTATTTTGCGTTCATAATGACTTCATTGTAACACAGCTTTCGGTGCTGTAATGAGGTACTTTACCTCACCCAAAATTTTGTTTTTATAGGTTGGCTACTTTAAACATACTAGTAAAATAATATTTTGCTTGGTTATAATATATACTAACTGACATAGAAATTGCAACACCCAGAAGGAGGTGTCCAATTTAAATAATTATTTGTTCAAATATATGTACTATAGCTAGGAGTAAACCATAAAATTTGGTAAAGAAATATGCAGTCGTTCTCATGTAAACAATTTTTTTCACGATTCAAAGAAATTGTTTTAGTCGAGTTTTTTGCGGTTTTTTTTTTCGATTTAAAAAAATTTTTCTGTTAATTTGGGTGTTTTAGTAATGTTAAAATGCCTAGAGCACGAGTACGCGGAATTTATCGCCAACTGAGTGAATTTGAAAGAGGCCGAATTATTGGTCTACGGGAGGCGGGTTTTTCATTTCGTGAAATAGGCAACCGCACTAACAGAAATCCAACTACTGTAATGAGATGTTGTCAAGCGTGGTTTGATAATGCCCAAAACCGGAGAAGAGTAGGCACTGGACGTCGAAGGCGCACAAATGAAGTTCAAGATCGACGTCTAAGACTTATAGCCTTCAGAGACCGATTTTCGACAACTCGATCTTTGGTTGATGAGTGGTTAGGAGAACAAGGCCGACTTTTAAGTGTTCGAACGGTTTACCGCCGTATAAGGTCTTTTGGACTTCAGCACTATCGACCCCATCTTGTGCTACCTCTGACCGCTGTGCATCGACGGCAACGACTACAGTGGTGTACAGAACGACAACATTGGAACGTGAAATGGCATCAAGTGGTCTTCTCTGATGAATCCCGATTCTGCTTAGATGGACATGACGGCCGAAGAAGGGTCAGACGACGTCGGGGAGAAAGACGTCAACCTCAGTTTGACGTTGAGCGTCATGTACACCGAACAGTAGGCGTTATGGTATGGGGTGCTATTGCTCATGGAAGTAGGTCACCTCTAGTCTTTATTAGAGGCAACATGACAGCGCAACGTTATCTTCAGGAAGTAGTGGAGCCGTATGTTCTCACTTATCTTAATCGGCTTGTGGATCCAATATTTCAACAAGATAATGCACGGCCTCATGTTGCCAGAGTTAGTTTGAACTTTTTTGAAGAGGCCCACGTGAATCTAATGCCATGGCCAGCCAGATCTCCCGACCTTTCGCCCATAGAACATGTTTGGGATGTGATGGGTAGAAGGCTAGGAAATCTACCTCAGCCCTCAAGGACTTTGGAGGCTCTAAGACATGAAGTACAGGTAGCTTGGGATACTATACCTCAAGAAGAAATAGACCACCTCATTCAATCAATGCCAAGGCGTGTTAGGGAGTGTGTAGATAATCACGGTGGACCAACACATTATTAACAAAATTAATAAAAAAACTTTGAAAATCCTTGGTATTTTTTCTCCAAATTCTAATCGTTTACTCCTTGATATAGTACATATATTTGAACAAATAATTATTTAAATTGGACACCTCCTTTTGGGTGTTGCAATTTCTATGTCAGTTAGTATACTTTTCTGGAAATAAATTTTGTTTCTTCCTTAACATTAACAGCCGCTTATTCTAAATAAGTAAATTAAGGACGCCATGGCGAATCGATTTTGACATTAACCCAATGACTGTGATACCAACTATCTAAAGTAAAATTCGCCCAAATTAAATACCTACCTAGGTATAAGGTATAACAAAAAATTTATAGAGTTTTTGAAAATAGATAAAATAGCATAAATAGTCAATAGTCATAACACCAGGGCCGTTCCTGGCGAGCGTGCAGTGCGTGCACGCACGCAGGCGCAACATTTTGTGGGCGCAAAATCCAAGGGTCAATCAGTACTTTGTAACGATAAACTTTCTTGCAATAAACAAATTCCTAAACATACCTAAAGGTTACCGCCTTTCTTTGCGTCGCGACGCATTAAAGCCTCATGCCGCTCTTTTTTCGGCCGCAAGCGGCTTTTAAAGCTCTAATATTGGAGGCTTATTTTTTTTATATAAGTATCAAAATTAAAGGAGAGTTGTCATAATATTTTAGTATTTGTTTGATAGTTGAAGTTGACGGTAGCAAAGTTTAACAGTAGTCTACACAGTGCATGACTTTGTAACGAGCTTACGTCACTAAAAACCAGTCGTAGTTATTATATAGTTTTTGTTTGTATTATTTAGGGTATTATTATTACTAAATATTTGTTGGTAATTTTGTTTTGGTAATTACTTAATATAATAAATATTTTTATCTACTTCTATTGCATAATTTTGAAGTTTTTTCGTGAATATTGATAAATATTATAAATTTTCTGCCTAACAACGTGAATAATGAACTCATTATTCACGTTGTTAGGAACTAGTGATTGGCCGATTTCAATATTCACTGCGATTTAAACCAATCGGGTTTTAAATTGGAAGAAGGCGACTATAATAACATTTAAAATTGGTAAAAAGTGAGGTTAACCATTTGACAGATGTCAGATTAAATTTATTTAATTTTGAAAATCCTTTAATTATCTACTTATTGAAGTAAATAAAGTATAGTGTTACACTTGAGATTATGCGCGTTATTTACTCGGATGATTTAAGTCTCTTCATCCTCTTGAATAATAGCCTGCATTATCTCTCGTATAATAATATACTATTTATAGTTAATTTCAGCAGTTTTATTACATTTTTAATTACATATTGCCAGTTTGTCGCAAAATATATATTTTTAAAATTTTAGGGCTTAAAATTAAAATATTTAATGTATTCTTTTTAAATATAAAAGGAGCGCACCAAAGAATGCTGCACGTAGGCGCCAGACACCCCAGGAACGGGCCTGCATAAGACCTTTTGTTGCAATCATCCATTACAAAACTCGCTCCTTCGTCGCTTGTTTTATAAATTGTCCTCGTGCGAAAAAATGACGTCTTATTACATTAGTTCTTTAATATATCTATTATTACAGATATCAGATTTTATATATTTATTTTTAAAAAAAATTAATTATCTACCTATAATAATATGCTATAATTACAATCCCAGATTCTGTCAAAAAAAAATTTGTATGAATTTATCTCAATTACAAAATTGAAATAATGATACAATGCAAATTGTAAGTTTGACGTTACTTAATTATTGTTGATTGTGTCATTTTTGTAATTAAGGTTAATTCACACAAAAGGTTCCGATTTTTTTTGACAGTATCGACGCACACTGGGGTATTTGGACACCATGAAGGGACAAAATTTATTTTCAAAATAGGTTGAGAGTTTTAAGTCGGAATAGGCTTTAATATCCTGGAAATATGTTGACATAGATATTACCTTAAAATTATGGAATATATACAGGGCGTTTCATTTTCAAAATAGTTTGAGAGCTTTAAGTCGGAATTCCGACTATTAATAGGCTTTAATATCCTGGAAATATGTTGACAATAATTACAAAAATTTTTACTACTTATCCAGTATAGCTTCAAGAAAAATAACAAAACATACCAAGTAGGTAGTTAAACCTTTTTTTGCAGTATTATTTTATAATAATGTTGAAATTTTGCACACTTGACAATACTGAATTGCATATTTTATTTACTAAAACGGTGAAAATTAAATAAATAATTGCGGGAAAAAATACAGAAATCAATTTTTTTTTTAAATCCATTGTTTTATTTTGACAGAGTTGATAAAGCTAAGATTATTAGTTAATCGATCTTACTCTTTGGGTTATCAAAACTGACATTTTGTTCCGCCATATTGAATTTTTTGAATTTGTGAAAAATATTTCTTTAAGTTTACAAACCTACCTAATAGATTTTTATTGACATCGGGATAACAGTTCATGAATTATAGCCAATCAAAAATTAAAGTGGCCGCCATTTTGATCTGCCATGTTGGGGTTTTTAAAAAAACTAATCAAGTCTTTCTGTTGTTGTACGTAAGTCGCCTGCCAAATTTCATCAAAATTGAATCAATACTTTTTGAATTATGCTGACCAAAATAATTTAATACATTGGTATTGTGCAAAAATGACGTGTTAACTGCATTTAACATTATATTCAGGGATTTACGGAATAGCAAATATTAGCAATTTTTTTTACGGTTTCATAATAAACGATGATTGGACATTATTCTG